CCCTTGCCACCGTGGCCTGGACGACCTGGGTAACCTGGGTAGCCTGGGTAGCCATCGCGGCCATCGTCGCCATCTTCACCATCGTGGCCATGTCCACCGTGACCACCGTTACCACCGTGGCCTGGACGACCTGGGCGACCTGGGTAGCCATCACGGCCATCGTCGCCATCTTCACCATCGTGGCCATGTCCACCGTGACCACCGTTACCACCGTGGCCTGGACGACCTGGGCGACCTGGGTAGCCATCACGGCCATCGTCGCCATCTTCACCATCGTGGCCATGTCCACCGTGACCACCGTTACCACCGTGGCCTGGACGACCTGGGCGACCTGGGTAGCCATCACGGCCATCGTCGCCATCTTCACCATCGTGGCCATGTCCACCGTGACCACCGTTACCACCGTGGCCTGGACGACCTGGGCGACCTGGGTAGCCATCACGGCCATCGTCGCCATCTTCACCATCGTGGCCATGTCCACCGTGACCACCGTTACCACCGTGGCCTGGACGACCTGGGCGACCTGGGTAGCCATCACGGCCATCGTCGCCATCTTCACCATCGTGGCCATGTCCACCGTGACCACCGTTACCACCGTGGCCTGGACGACCTGGGCGACCTGGGTAGCCATCACGGCCATCGTCGCCATCTTCACCATCGTGGCCATGTCCACCGTGACCACCGTTACCACCGTGGCCTGGACGACCTGGGCGACCTGGGTAGCCATCACGGCCATCGTCGCCATCTTCACCATCGTGGCCATGTCCACCGTGACCACCGTTACCACCGTGGCCTGGACGACCTGGGCGACCTGGGTAGCCATCACGGCCATCGTCGCCATCTTCACCATCGTGGCCATGTCCACCGTGACCACCGTTACCACCGTGGCCTGGACGACCTGGGTAGCCTGGATAACCGTCGTGACTGTGACCGCCGTGTCCCGGACGACCTGGATGACCTGGGAAGCCATGGTGGCCATCGTCGCCGTCTTGACCGTCATCGCCATCTTGGCCATCGTCACCATCGTCACCATCGTCAGCGTGTTTACCGTGTTTGCCAGACTTGCCGTGTTTACCGTGCTTGCCTTTCTTGCCCTTCTTGCCCTTCTTACCACTCTTTCCGTGTTTGCCGTGCTTGTAGTGGCCGTGCGAGTGGCGGTGGTGGCAGCAGCAGCAGTGGTGGCAGCAGCGGCGGCTAGCTACGAGGTTATCGTCGTCGTCGTAGTTGTAGTCGTCGTCGCAGTCAAGCGAATCGTCACAATCGTCGCAGTCGCCGCTGTAGCTGTATTCATCGCAATCTTCGCAGTCGCCACAGACGTCCACATCCTCATAACCATCCTGGTAGTCTTCATATGCACCGTGGCATTGGTGTGGGTTGCGGTGACAGTCTGTCTGCGCCTTTCTGTCAGCAGTGAGAACGAGTGCGGAGAGTCTGCCCGCGCCATAGCATCTTGTGTCGAGTCCGAAAGTGTATGCATTCAGGTCGAGCCCGCGTCCGGCAGCGTGACCGTACGAAACACGTTGAGGAGTGCATCCGTCCTCTTCGCGACAACCGCTCATGTCGAAGTTCCAGTAGTTGTACCATGCAGGCCCGGCATCGTCGTCTGGTGTAGGATTACCGTGCAAGTCGATACTGCGCATTTCAACGAGACTCTTTGGGTTGTTTTGGGGAATGGAGAAGACGTCAATCTCGCCGCGACCTGTCTTTAAGAAAGGTGGGTTGGACGTTGAGAGAGGCTTTGTAGGGTCCTCCGATAACATACCCGCGTGCACCGCGTACATGTCGTAGTCAGGCAAGTGGATGTAGAGCGGGGTGTTGTAGAGGAACTCCTTGGTGTGCGGGGTGAGGTTACGTGCGATGTGGAAGTGAGGGGTGTTTGTCTTCATGTGCTTAGGAAGCTTCATCGCGCCAGTTGGGCGGAGACGCTTAGGGCATCCCATCGCGATCCATTCTTCACCACCTTTAACACTCTCCACTTGGTCGAGGAAAGCGCGCCATTCTACGACTAATTGGTCGTGATTGCCGCGCACGGCGAGTGCATCTAATTCAACTAATTTGTTTAAAACTCCTTGGGAATTTGAACCTTTGGCGATCACATCACCGAGCGCAATAAGCGTGTCTTTGTCCTGATCGTAGTCTAATTCGTAGAGGAGGTTCCTAAAAAAAAAAAAGTTAAAAAAAAGGTAAAACCAATAGAAACACGCCAACTCACTCAAATGGAGTAAGCATTCCGTGGATATCACCGACGAGAATAGTGCGGCCACCCTTCTCGTCGTAGTAAGTGGCATTTGGCTTGATGTGGCCAAGTTGAATGCCAGTGGGTGGAGCATTGCCGGACAGGAACCAGAAGAGTAGCCAGATCCAAAGACATGCGGCAACTACCACACCCAAGACGCTACAGTAGCATTTCTTGCTGCGTCGGATAGAGGTGCTGGTGCTGCTATGTTCATGGAGCAGCGGCTGCTGCTCAGAGTTCACGTAGACTGTGTCCTCTGCAGTCATCGTGGTTTGTGATGGAGTTGGAAGCGAGAAGACGAAATGCGGATGATCGGGATGAAAATAGGCACGATGAACGTCACTTTAAATTAATTGTAAAATTTGTTATGATCACGTTTTTCATAGTTCAGTGTGGAGAATGTGCAGGTAGCGAGAAAAGTGGTTGAGGATATTCATTTTTATTTGAATTTCATCCCTCTTGGTGTCTAGCATTTGCGAGCCGAGAAGCCTGCCGAGTCTGCCAATTTCGCGGGGAATGTAGTGTGCGTCGTGGGAGATGATTTTAGACATTATGCGGAGGTAAATTGTGTGCGGCGAGCTGTGCATCTCTTGACCAAGCTCCTGAGCAGTCGTCTCAGCAATCTCCAACCTCTTTTCACCGCTTGCCCGCATAAACACCTCCACTAAGCTGTCCAAGTCCTCCACCAGGCCAGCTTTGTCATTTAAATTACCGTCAATCTGTCTATTGGTGTTGCAGTGGGTGTTTACGTAGTCCACGAGAGCATCAAGGGTACGTGACTTGTCGTAATGGAGTACCTCACCAGACCCTTTGACTAACTTTAAAGTGGGAAGTGAGCCAATCTTAAAACTCCTCTGAATATCCGCATTTGAGCTCTCATCGACGTTTATCTTGGCCACTTGACAGCTGTCTTCACGGGAAAAAGAGATGCCGAGCGAGTCGAAAGCGGGGAGTATGCGTTTGCAATGAGAGCACCAGGGCGCATAGAAGAGTATGAGTGTGTTGAGGGAGGCGTCTGCGTAAACAAAAGAATGAAAATTATCATCGGTTAAGTCAATAACCGGGGAGCGCGATGATTGAGATGGGAGTGATGATTGTGGGTGTATGTGAGAGTGGTGTTTAATGAAGGAGATAAAACCATTCATATCTCTATCTCCTGTGTAGTCAACAGGAAGACCATTGTTTGGTGGAAAGTATTTAATGGCTGTGAGAGAGTTAGAAGATATAAAAGGCAAAAACAGACATACTAGGATATGAATTGATAGACCATCTCTTAACAAACTTTTTATATTCGTCTGAGTCAATTTTTGCTATGTGTATTTGGTTTGAATGGGCGAATGAATCTGCCAATTGATTGTACACCGGCTCTAGCTGCTCTTTTGAATTATAAGCGTGTGGCTCTAATCAGCGATACTTCCACCCACTGCAATGTCCACACCACGGCGTATAGAATTCCACCAGAACACCGCTATCTCTACCAACGATGTCGGTGAAATTCGATGGCGTGAGATCTAATACAGCAGCCATAGCAGCTACGCTGGCCGCTGAAATAGTTAAAATCAAATAAATTACTTTGATTTTCATCGTTGATCGTCAACAACCATCATCTAATGTCCACGTCTACCAATAGGCTTATCGTTGTTTCCAACAGGCTCCCTGTGACTGTATCTCGTAGATTTGACGGGGAGTGTGAGTGAACCACGTGTAGCACACACACGCTCACACGACAACTCAGATGAATTCAAGTTATCCAGCGGTGGCTTGGTTTCCGCATTGAGTGGCTGCAAGAAGCAGATGGATTTCACCTGGATTGGCTGGCTGGGCATCGAAATCCCCGAAGCTGACCACGACCACGTTACACAGCGACTGCGCGATGAATACTCGTGCCAGCCTGTCTTCCTCCCAGACAACATCGCTGACAAGTACTACAATGGATTCGCTAATGAAATGATTTGGCCACTCTTCCACTACCACCCAGGTGAAATGAACTTTGACGAGACCAACTGGTTTGCTTATCGCGCAGCCAATGCCATGTTTGCTCAGGTCGTCACTAGCCAGGTCCGCTCCGGTGACCTTGTCTGGGTCCAGGACTACCACCTTATGCTCCTGCCTATGATGCTTCGTGGTTTGATCGAGAAGAACAACGTTGGTCATGAAACGCATAAAGAACTCGATCGTTTGCATAGAGGTATTGATGGCGTCGTTGTAGACAACGTTCACCCGAAACACGGTGTCAAAATTGGCTGGTTCCTCCACACTCCCTTTCCCAGCTCGGAAATCTACAGAATTCTACCTGTCAGAAGGGAAATTCTCCTTGGTATTCTTCACTGCGATCTCGTCGGTTTCCATACATATGACTATGCAAGGCACTTTCTCAGCTCATGCACCCGCATCCTCGGTCTTAGTGCCCTACCCAACGGTGTTCAATTCGGTGCTCGTTTCGTCCACTGTGGCACTTTCCCTATTGGCATAGAGCCCAGTCAGTTTATCGAGATGCTTGAGACGCCTGGGGTGGTGCGACGTATCGAAGCACTTCGGAAGCGATTCGAGGGTGTGAAGATAATTTGCGGGGTAGATCGACTCGACTATATAAAAGGTGTACCACAGAAGCTGCACGCCTTGGAAGTATTCCTCCAGCAGCACCCCGAGTGGATTGGCAAGGTAGTGCTAGTGCAACTCGCGATTCCTTCACGGGGAGGAGTTGAGGAGTATCAGACGCTTCGTGCGCGTGTGAACGAGTTAGTAGGTCGTATAAACGGTCGGTTCGGTACAGTCGAGTTCATGCCCATTCACTTTATGCACAAGTCACTCACTTTCGATGAACTTTGCGCGCTGTACGCGATTAGCGATGCATGTCTCGTGAGCAGCACGCGCGACGGGATGAATCTGGTCAGCTATGAGTATATTTCCACGCAATGCGCTAATCATGGAGTTATGATACTTAGCGAATTCGCAGGCGCTGCACAGTCTTTCCATGGCGCACGTATCGTCAATCCTTGGAATATCGCTGAAATGGCTACCGCCATCCATGAAGCTGTCACCATGTCGGCGGAGGAACGCGCTGAGAAGCACGCTAAACTTTTCAAATACGTTAGTAAATATACTAGCTCCTTCTGGGGAACGAGCTTCGTTAGCGAGTTGAAACGCATCAAGCATTCACATGACTCGAAAGACGCCCATGGGCATGATGGAGTGTATAGGGAGATTATCGAGGCCAGGAAGAGGAGCATCGGGGGAATGTCTAATGATAATTACGCTTCTGGGGAATATTCCGGGAAAGCGTGAGTCATTTGATTTGCTTGATTTTTTTTCAATTTGATGGCATTGTAATGATATTTATGTTTATATATATGTACACGCACCTCTCACCGCGTCTGCCATGATCGATCTTCCAATACACCCACCAAGCAGCGCAAAACCGCCGCAAAAGCCAGCAGCGCTGACGGGTGAGCAAGAGGAAAAGTATGATTTGGTGCTAACAGCGATGCGCCAACTCAACACTCTCCCTATGAGCGAGAATGATAATACTCCTGCGGGAATAAGCGGGGTAGAAGAGCGATTCTTAACTAGAGAATGCATGTTGCGCTATCTGCGAGCGACGAGATGGAACACTGTGACGACGATCGAGCGATTACAAAAGACCCTAATCTGGCGTCGCACTATAGGACTCAACGAGGGAGGCAAATTGATGAGCGGCGACTATATAGCACCCGAGCAGCTCACGGGCAAGCAGCTCCTGTGCGGATTCGATAACTTGGCCCGCCCCCTCTGGTACATGAAGCCGGATAGACAGAACACAGAGGAGAGCACCCGGCAAACTGATCATGCTTTCTTTATGCTCGAATTGGCTAAAATATGCGCTCCGAGAGGCGTGGAAACCGTCAGTCTGCTTATCAATTACGCTAAGAAGGCTAAGGGTCCGTCGCTCGCCACGTCAAAAGGCGTACTTTATGCCCTAGCCGATCATTACCCAGAAACACTGGGAACTGCTTTCGTTATTAACCTTCCAGCCGTCGTCACGTGGATGTTTAAAATTATCTCGCCCCTCCTCGACCCCGTTACCAGAGAGAAACTGTCCTTCTCGAATGACGTCTCGCATGTGGTAGATAAATCTCAGCTAGAGGACAGTTTTGGCGGGAATGTCGATTTGAGTGTCTACGATCACGATAAATACTGGTCACAGCTTATGGATTTCGTCGATGAGCGTAAAAAGAAGATGTCGGATAAGTGGATTGAGCTTGGCGGTGGTATTGGCGTGTCTGAGTGGGATATCAAGTCATTTGATGGGGAGTGGGGGGTGAAAGAGGTGCAAGGTCAATGAGTGGGTGCTAATGCTCTAGAAAAAGGATAGAAACGGGAATGTAATAGTCGAACAAGACGATAACACGGATATATATGCGCATATTGGAAAACTAGCAAACTAGCGCACACATTCGCGCATACGTGCATGCAAATGAGCAGGCATGAAGCCATACCGCGGGAAAGGGTCGGGAGTGGGGTAAGAGATGTCATCGAGATGAGTGACTTGGATTGAGATTGTGCGATCAGCTGCGCTGTAAAACACTTTGTACATCTTGCTTTCATCCCCAATAGACGTGATGGTCTCGCGCACAAACTCAATCAGCATTTCGGCAAGACTAGTGCAGGTTTTGTGGTTCCATGCGTAGTTACTCCCGCGAACGAGATTAGGGAGTGATAGCGTATCGTACTCCTTCACATCGACTAGAATACCGCTTTTGTTTTTGAATCCGACAACTATTTTCTAAGTGGTTGTTAGTGAATATTTTCACCCTTACTCAAACTAACTGGGACACCTAATAGATAACTCTGAAAGTAAAACTTGAGCAGCTTCTGATCGAATCGGTCTTGTTGGGCGGGGGATTGGATTTGAATGGATGTCTTAAGTTCAATGTAGTCATCTTGATGGGGAGTGTAGAGGTGTTGTTGATGGAATTGATCGGTAGACGCACAATCAACTTCCCCTGCAGTTAGAATCTTGTGTTTACCAAAGCGTAGTTTATTGATAGTTGCCCATTGAGCCGAATTGTTTGTCGGAGTGTGAGGTGCACCAGTGGCTAGACCTTCGAAGGCGTAGCCATTGTACATGGCCCTTTTGTGCCATTCTGAGGATGGTTTAGCTGGTGGTGAATTGTCGCTGATAAATATGGAATTGTGGATGAGCATACAATTGAGACACCAGTTGTCATCGTAGTTGTACAAAGCCGTTGTTAGCTTAGTGAGGATGCCTCTGAAGGTGATAACGTTATAAGACCACCAATCTAATTTATAATGATCAATTGCCAGTAATAGGTTGTCTAGGTGTTCAATATTTTCATTGAAAACCATCCCTTCAACGCCAAAATTCAAGTCACTGCCAATACTCAATCTAGCATCATTATAATAAGATAATTGAGAATTATTATACAAAATATATCTATCTTTGTTGATTGAGAAGGTTGTGAGTTGAGTTGGGTAGGATACTTGGATTGGTGGTAGTTGCTGTGCGTGGTTTGGCAATTTAAATGAATTAACGAGCATCGAATTGGATCTGTGGATTTATTTAGTTGTTGTGTTGGGTGTTATAAAATTACTAGAACCCACCACTATTAGTTTATAAGCCTGGTTCTGTAAAAATTAGTCAAACAAACCAACTCACTCCTCTTTGTACGCTGCTTGTACATAATTCTATGTCCACACTCTCTACACCTAATGGGTTCCCTGGGTTTTATTTCATTTGGACTAGCGCAGTCTAAACAATATTAGAATAATTCCAAAATCCCCTATCAACCCACCTGCACATAAATATTTCATAATCATATTTTTGTCTTCCATTGGGTTATTGATTGTGTTCATTGTTCTCTTGCTATTGCTCTTGGTCGTCAACCACCAACAACATGTCAAATGATTTTAAAGTAAATAGAAATACTCAAAGGCAGTCATTTACCGCTCTTTATTCCATGGCCGCTGAGCAGGACGTCGACGCCGACGATGACCTCGCACGGGCTCAAAAGAAATTACGAGATTTAAAGTCTAAAATATCCAGCCAATCAAAGAAGAATTTCGTTCTAGAGAGGGATGTTAGGTATTTAGACGGTAGAATTGCCCTCCTTATCCAAAACAGAATGGCTGCAGATGAGAAGGAAGAGGTCGCTGCAACTTTAGAGGAAAACGACGACAACGCTGGTTGGCTTGATGATAAGAAAGTACAGCAATACGCTAACCTCTTCTTCCTCCTCCAATCTGAACCTCGTCATATCGCTGTGCTCTGTAGACTCGTCAGCCTCGCTGAAATCGACACACTCTTACAAACTGTCATGTTCACCCTCTACGGTAATCAATATGAGTCTCGTGAAGAGCACCTCCTCTTAACCATGTTCCAATCCGTTTTATCCGCTCAGTTTGAGACTGCTACCGAGTTCGGAAGCTTACTCAGGGCTAACACCCCTGTCTCAAGAATGATGACCACCTACACACGCAGAGGTCCTGGCCAATCCTACCTCAAGAGCGTCCTCGCTGATCGCATCAACTCCCTCATCGAACACAAGGACTTGAACCTCGAAACAAACCCCTTGAAAGTCTATGAACAAATGCTCAACTCCATTGAAGAGGAAAAGGGCATCTTACCTCCTGGTTTGTCTCGTGGCGTCTCCACCGAAGTCGCCTCCGATAACCCCGACGTACAAGCCATCATTAGACCTAGAATCACTATGCTCATCGAAATTGCAAACTCCTTCTTATACACTATCATCGACTCCATCGACAGCGTTCCTTATGGTATCCGTTGGATCTGCAAACAAATTCGTTCTCTCACTAGAAGAAAATACCCACAAGCTACCGATTACGCTATTTGCTCTCTGATTGGTGGTTTCTTCTTTCTGCGCTTTATTAACCCAGCTATTGTCACCCCACAGGCTTACATGCTCGTTGACGGCATCCCTGCTAAACACCCTCGTCGCACTCTCACCCTGATCGCAAAGATGCTTCAGAATCTCGCAAATAAACCTTCTTACGCTAAAGAGGCGTATATGATGCAGCTAAATCCTTTCGTTGAGAACAACAAGGCGAGGATTAATCAATTCCTCAATAATCTCTGCGAGGTTGGTGATTTCTACGATCAGCTCGAGATGGACCAATACATGGCTCTCAGTAAGAAAGAGTTGCAGATAAATATAACGTTGAATGAATTATACAATACCCATTCCCTGCTTGTCCAACATATGGATATACTTGTGAGTGGGGTGTTTGGATGGCGAATGCGCAATACTGACACCAAAATTAACACTCCAGGCACCACAAAGCAAACAACATCTTAGAATACTGCTAGACGAATTAGGGCCATCGCCTGGACCAGTGCCCCGCAAAGACAACCGCACGATCAATCTGCCCATGTTCTCGAGATGGGAGACGCCAATCCAAGATCTCACCACGGCTCTGATGGCCGAGAGCAACGTAACGCAGAACGACATTCTCTATATGGAGGCCAAATCCATTTTTGTCCAGCTGATCCGTTCGATGCCGGGTGCCGACAGACTACCAGTCGATTTGCCCGCGATAGCCGAGCGCGCTGCTACAACTAAAGACCCCGTCTTGGTGAAGAAAGGGATCAAAGTGAAAGAAATGTTGCGCGAACTCGAGGAGATCGGCATCATTGACCGCGCTGATGAATACAACCTCATGCAGGAAGAGGTACAGGCTGAGCTCGCACATCTCGGAAACATACGCGAAAAAGTTCTCATTGAGTCTAAATCCTTAGATAGCGTATACAAGACCATTTGCGACCATAATAATTATCTCCGCTCACAACTCGAAAGCTACAAAGCATACCTGGCGAATGTGCGCATTAACTCGTCGAAAGATGCTAAATCTTCAACGGGTGGTGTCGGCGTCGTTACCGTTGGTGGTAAGGAGAAGAAAACTGCCAAGTCTCAAATCCTCGGCCCGTACCGCTTCACTCACTACCAACTAGAGAAAGAGGATATTATCAAACAAAGCAATGTACCTGAAAATAGAAGATCAAACATCTACTTTAACTTTACATCACCAACCCCAGGCACTTTTATCATCGCTCTTCATTACAAAGGCAGGGAGAAGGCCATACTCGAAATGGATCTCAAAATCGATGATCTCCTTGAAAAGCAGAAAGATGGAATCAACCTGCTTGATTTGGAATATGTTCAGCTGGATGTAGATAGGGTGTTGTTGCTACTTCAAAAGTCATTCTCTAAGAGACGTTAATTTCTTTCATTGGACATTCCAAAATCTCTATTCACGCTCTTCGCACTGATTATCTACACTAGGCTAAGTACACAAACTAAACTCGATATCGACACTCGTTTTTATCACCACTCAACTCTCACTTGGTATTTCTATATCTCATTGTAACAATTTCCAGATACATGGTACAGACTACGTATGACTAAGTATGACAACAAGCTATGTATATCTCAAAACAACTGTCTCAGTCCATCATAGAGGCGATAGTGAGTGACGCGGTGAAGATGACGAGCTGGACGCCGCACACGAGGAGGAGAATGTCAGCGGCTTTAGCGAAAGTCGTCCGCGCACACGCCTTAAGATGGAGGAGGGGAGGGTAAATGAAGCAGAGGGGAACGCACGCAACTGTGAGGTATGAGGTGTGAGAAGGAGAAGCCAATCAATTCAAAGAACCAACTCACCTGAACCGATAAGCGAGACAAACTTATCTAAATCGCTCGCACCGCAAATACTAACGACAATACAAACGAACACCACAGCTAATCTGAAGAGATTCTTCTTCCACTTGACCTTATTACTGAATTTGCCGCTCTCGACAAATATACCAGCCTCCATGATACGCACTGCTGGGAAAAGCTGGAGAGGTATACTGAGGAGAATAGCGAGAGAGTAGAGAAATTGAACTGACTGCACGAAGCGGTTGTCTTGTGGCAGGTTCGATATTACTACTGTCTGGATCTTGCTCCCAAATGCAGCATAACTAAGGAACCCGCTACTCGCAAATAGCGCAGTAAGTACTATCATTACTCCCGATAACACATATGGGAATTTCCGTGGCTCACGCATCGATTCCACTACAGGTATGATCAACCCTATTCCCTCGAATGCGAATACGGCAGTACCCATAAAGAGAGGGTATGACTCAGAGTTGAACAGAACAACATCTTTGGCTATTCCGTTGCTCGCGATCACTGCTATCTCCTGACTAAAGAGATAGATAATTCCGAAAAGGATAAAGACGTCGGCGATGAGCGCTGTGAGTGAGAGTTTGGTAAGGTTGCGGTAGAGTGCGAGTGGTGTGAGAATGGGAATCTGGATAAGAATGAAGAGAAGAGTAGGCAGATTGAGGTTACTTTCGCTCACTGCTATTACGAATGCACGGAGATTTTCAGCAACGAAGACGGTATATGCAGACACGAAACCCATCTGGGATACGGTAATTGAAGCGAGAATGGCCAAGCGCATCTTATTGCCATAAAGGATACCGCCGATGTCACCAAACGAGCCAGGTACTTTGTAGCTGGTGTGTATGAGGAGGAGGTATGCCCACATGTTTACGAGTGCTAGGATGATTATGACAACGGTGGAGAAGTACAGACCACCATTGAGAAAGGCTCTACCTAGGAAGAGAATGCCAGTACCAATGAAAGATTTGAGAAGCATCAAAACAGCCTGTGTGATGCTTGCTGTGCCGCGCCGGGCAGCAGAAGTGGATCTTCTTCTAACAGGGATAGGTCTAGGAATTAGAGGATCACGTTCATCACGTGGTTTTCTAGGGAGTCTGGAGGATTCTTGAGGGTGTTGAGAGTGTTGAGACTCATCAGATTCATCTAATTCTTCCAATTCTTCCAATTCTTCACCTGCAAAGTGACCAAATAAAGCTAAGTAATCGACAAAAGAGGTATTTGCGAATTCAGGGTGTTCGACGCCCCTTTCACGTGCTCTATTTGCAATATATTGCCTTCTAAAACCACCTGGATGCCTGAGATAGCCTAGAGAGTGATCAACTTCATTCTCAGATTGAGACTCTAAAGCAGATTGAACATTTGAGAAAGACATGCTCCGTGGTCTAATAGAAGTAGAATTTCTATGTTGCCTTTCCCATGCGTATAGGTGATGAGTGATATCAGCACCAGGGACGTGTAGAGGAGCAGAGAAAGAGTCATGATCATTATCGAGATCGTTATCGTCGTCATCGTCATTGTCATTGATATTATTATCACTTGATCGCTGCCTTTGCTCCTTTGAAACGAGGTGTCTTCTGAGGATATCTGCTTTAACCTCGTCGTCGTTGGTTGAATTATTTCCAGGGCCTATAAGGATTATAAGGATTATGAATATTTTCAATTTCAATTAATTTAAAACTAACTTGACATGGTCGTAAGCAGATAACATACGTTGGGGCTATCAATTGAACCATCATGTCAAATGAAAATCCAAATGAAAACTCAAATTCAAATCCAAATCCAGCTAACATCGGCACTTTGCACACCTCAAATCCAAATCCATCCACCTCCACACGCACCAATGAATACTCCTCACAAACTAAAGCAGGCACCGCTAAAATGAAGTTTGCGCCTAAAATTCAACCACGAAAGAAGCCCACAGAAGTCAAGCCAGAACCCACTTCGGATCCTTCTAGCGGTAGAGGAAGGGGTAGAGGAAGAGGCGATTCTACACGAGGTAGAGGTCGTGGTAGAGGTGAAGTTCAAATGACTGCATCCGGTCCTTTCGCTATGGGTCCTTCAAAGAACGCTGGAATGGGTAGAGCTCGTTCTGCTCAAGCTTCAGGTATCACCGTTGGTGGTAATAGGCAGGCTATGCAGAAAGAATCTGCTCAACTCACCGGCGCTGGTAAACCTTCACGCTTAGCAGGTGATAGAGGTGCTACTGTTAAAGATGACCCCGAGCAATACTCTGAAAATGAGGATGAAGGTATGGAAATTATCGATATTCAACAAGTTGCATCTCTCGATCAAAATGCTCCTACTTCTATACCTAAAGAGCATTACAAGTTTGATAATAAAAAAGATAAGAAGAAAAAGCATCTGAACAAAGACATTAAACCGAAAGTTAAACCTGATCCAGATGGAAACGTTGATGAGATGAAACAAGATGAAGATGATGACGTTGAGCAGGCTGATGTTGAAGATATAGCCAAAGGTGGTCTCGATCTTAGTGCTTCAGAAGAAGAAGATGAGACTGAGGACGTTGCTTACGACTTTACAGCTGCTTTAGATGCTGATGAGGATAAAATGCTCTTCCTTCAATTCCCAAAGACTTTTCCAAAGTTTTCTGCACCACCCAAACAAGCAAACACCGACAAGCGGGTGTCATTTGCTGGGGCTGATCAAGAAAAAAATCAAGATGAAGACGATAAAGAAAAAGAAAAGGACACAAAGAAAGATCAAGACAAAAAACCTGACACCAAACCTGACCTTTCAAAACTCGACCAAATCAGCCAAGATGACGACGCTGAGGGTGAAATTGGGGAGTTGTTAGTGTACGAAGATGGTCAAGTTAGAATACATCTCGGAAATGGTCAGGTTTACGATTTAAACCGTGCCACACAGCCTTCATTCCTTCAAAATATAGTGTCTATCGATCATCACCATCGACAGATATCTGTTTTTGGTGAAGTCGGTTTGAGATACTCTGCAATCCCAGACATAGATCGACTGATTGATCAGATGTACCTTGAGGATCAAGAGGAGGCTGCGGTTAAAACAGATGCTGGCGTTGATGCTGGTGCTGCTAAGCAACCCGCCTAGGTGGTAATCTATACTTAGTTTGTTACGTCTAACGTCTTACGATATGCCTTTCCTTCACACCTACACTTACACTATAGATAGATAGATATTTATTCGAAATGCATTCACATTAATCCTTACAGCCGGCATTACTAATCACTATTCACATGTAGATTGCAAAGCATTGCATTAATTATAAAAGTAAAAATCTCTTTATATCATTGTTTAAGCAGCGTAAGCAGATGACGCAACACGTCCACCTCTACCGGTCCAGTTCAAGTGGTTTGGTTGACCCTTGATGAATTTGTCAGATTTGGCCGAGTCCTTAACTTGGAAAGTGTGAGCGCCGAAGAAATCACGTTGAGCTTGAATAAGGGAAGCGGATGGAAGGTCAGCAGATCTGTAAGAGTCGAGGAAAGAGAGGGATGATGAGAGTGCTGGTGTTGGGATACCCCAGAGAGTAGCTTGTGCAACCACACGTCTCCATCCAGCTTGAGCGTTTTCGAGTGCCTTTACGAAGAAATCATCGAATAAGAGTGACTCGAGTTGTGGGTTACGCTCGTATGCCTTGGAGATGTCACCAAGGAAAACTGACTTGATGATACATCCACCACGCCACATCTTTGCGATACCTGCGTTGTTGAGCTTCCAGCCGTATTCCTTAGCAGCTTCACGGAAGAGAAGGAAACCTTGAGCGTATGAGATAATCTTGGCACCATAGAGAGCTTGTTGGAGGTCATTGACGAAAGCAGCTTTGTCACCTGAGAATTGCTCCTTTGCAGGTCCCTTGAGTTTTTGAGCAGCAGTTTGACGCTCATCCTTCAATGAAGAGACGCAACGAGCAAAGACAGCTTCAGCGATGAGGGTAACAGGTGTACCGAGGTCGAGTGCATTGACACCGGTCCACTTACCAGTACCCTTTTGACCAGCGGCATCGAGGATGGAATCAACGGTAGCTTCACCGTCAGTCTTGTGTTCAAGAATTTGAGCAGTGATGTCAGTCAAGAAGGAGTCAAGAACACCAGAGTTCCATTGCTTGAAAGCATCAGCAACTTGATCGTGAGAGAAACCAACACCACGAAGGAGGATATCATAAGCTTCACCGAGGACTTGCATATCACCGTATTCGATACCGTTGTGAACCATTTTAACGTAGTGACCAGCACCTTCATCACCAACCCAATCGCAACAAGGTTCATTACCATTTACTTGAGCAGAAGTCTTTTGAAGGATTTCTTTGATGTGTGGCCAGGCGTCTGGGTTACCACCTGGCATGATGGAAGGACCCCAACGAGCGCCTTCTTCACCACCTGAGACACCAGAGCCAACGAAGAGAAGGCCTTCCTTTTGGAGTTCTTGAGTGCGACGAATAGAGTCAGGGTAGTGAGAGTTACCAGCGTCAATGACGATATCGCCCTTTTCAAGGAAAGGTTTGAGTTGATCGATGAAAGAATCAACAGCAGGACCAGCCTTGACGAGAAGAATAATCTTACGTGGTCTCTTGAGTTGCTTGCAGAATTCCTCAATAGAGTGAGCACCAACGATTGCTTTACCTGTGATTCCGTTAGTCTGGCTTCTCGTGTCTGTGTTTGACACACCGTGTGCCTCGTTGGCTAAGAAATCGTCAACCTTGGAAGTTGTACGATTGTAAGCAGCGACTTGATAGCCCTTATCAGCCATGTTGAGGATTAGGTTTTGGCCCATAACGGCTAAGCCGCTGTGAGTGGGTGAGTAAGTGATCAGCACAGCACATGCACTCAACATACATCAGACCGATACTGGGATTTATGTTAGACGGGATTATTGAATAAACCATTTAAACTCACTCAGCGACAGATTCTTGTGACATATCGTACTTGTTGGTGGTGTTGAAGAGAGTTGGACGAACTCCGAATCACTTGTAACATCATTTATATTTAAATTTTAATCAAAATACAATCTACAAGAATCTGTATTAAACCGGATCATTCCGATTCATTTTAAGCCAATTTTAAACCAAATCGATGCACTAAAATCTGATATTGCGTCATCAATTGGTTGAGACTGTGATTTGTATCTAATGGGTTTTTAGTGGGTATTGAATTCAATATATACCCAATTCACATCACTTTTACGCCACTGCGGTATCTACGGACACTGCGATTCCACGGTTAATCGACCCGAGCGTGCATTTGAATGCAGTTTAATTAAACTTACGTGCAAATTAACTTTATTTCAATAATTATACTGTTAATTCCTTTTTCGCTAAAATTCCACGTCGTTCGAATGGCTTTGTTTGGGTTTGCTGGGTTTGTTGGATGTGTTAGGCATGTGTGGCTGCTATGCTATCATTGATAAGCTACTCGTAACACTATATCTACTATCCAATTTCCAGCACAAATAGCTTGATATCGTTGAGATGAATATTGAGAATTTGATCAATTTAAATGAAATACTTTATTCAATTTAATTCGAATAGTATCACTGTTGCTACTGCTGCTGCTACAGATTCAGCTGTACCTCCATCTCTCTCCATCTCCTCGTTCCACTCAACGTCCATCATCCTTGAATCGATTAATTCAAGGAAATGGGGAATAATCAAGTTAGTGGCTGTGAATACCTACCTGCACTCCACCCACTCACAAATCCTAGGATGAATCCTCTGCCATCTCTTCCCTCGGTGGTCTAGCACTCAACGATCTCATCGGAAGTGAGCTTGAAGGTTACGACCCCAGCTACCTCAAAGCTTTTGGCTTAGGTGGCTCTTCTAAAATTTCAAAGGATCAAATTGAAAATGATGATCTATTCGGTGATGACGCTGAAGACGCAGACGATGCAGGTAACGATGAACAAATTGATGCAAACGTCGGTGATGACTTGGAGGATGATATGGATGAGGATCTTCCTGATGAAGTCATTCATCCCAGCCAACTAAAAGCTAGAGGCGAAGACGACGACTACGACGACGACTTCGACGCCATTGATGAACAGCCATATCATCCAGATGAGGACGTCGACGCTGATGACGACGCCGATGATGACGTTGATGACGGTGTTGATCGCGATATCGACGTCGATGTCGATCCCGATGCACAACAACCTACGACCCAACAAGATGCCAAAATGATCGACGTCAAAGAAATCTTCCCTGCATTCGACGCTGAAAAGGTACTCAACTTTACTCACCTATTCTCCAATCGTGGGCAAAAGAGACGCAAAATGAACTCAAATCGTAAATCTATCCAGCCACCTAGCATACACGTACATTTCCAACAAGCTCCGTCTACTAAAGATCTCTTCAACCGCGCTTTACCACCAACAGCACCAAAACCAACGCATCTCGACCACCTTGTCAGTAGAGTTTGGAGTCCTAATACCCACCGCGACTCTGAGAGCAAGCATAAAGAGACACCTGATCATGTCAACGATACAAAGGAGCTCAGCTTGGTCGATCTTGCTGACTGGGAGGATAATATTAAGTGGAGTGCGGGACCTCCAGTTCCCCCACATATCAAAAATGGTATTCCGATGATTGCGACTCTACCACCAAACGGATCACTGATGAACCAAGACTGGACACAATCTATCATATTCAATGAGAAGATGAAACCACAAGACTCTTTCGTAAAGCTCACACTCGACATGAATGATCCTTCTCTCATGTTTGAAGAGTTAGATGAAGATACAGAGCAACAAAATGCAAATGCAATAACATCTACATCAGCTGATCCATTCAACCTCTCCAATGACCATCTTTACGAGCAGTCAGTTACAGCACCTAAGCACAGAATCAGACAGACTTTCTCTCAGATAGACGTCCAGCATGCATACCCAGCCCTCAAGCTGCAACTGCCATTCTACAAGACACGTTTAAGCAAGAATGAAGCACGCAGTTTCCATCGTCCTACTCTCATGTTCCCAATCAACGTCGAGCAGCGTTTCTCCAAGGTGCGTAGCAACAAAAAGAAGAAGGACAAAGAGAAGCGACGCGCAGCCAAGGTAGATGGTGGAGCTGAGTTGTTGCACACGACGAAAGACCTCACGCTCAAAGATGGTAGTAACTACGCATTATGGGAGTATTCCGAGGAGTATCCATCAATCATGTCCAACTTTGGTATGGGCAGTGTGCTCGTCAACTACTACCGCAAAAAAGACCAGCACGACGACCATGTGCCTAAGTCTGACTTTGGTGAGCCGTTCGTGCTCGACGTTGCGGATGAGTCTCCATTCATGAAGCTTGGTTTTGTAGACTCGGGTCAGACAATTCCTACGCTGTACAATAACCTAATCAGAGCTCCCCTTTTCAGGCACCAGCCAAACCACACCGATTTCCTCGTGATCAGGTCCACATCCAAGAACGAGACGTGCTACTTTATACGCGAAATCAAGAACGTCTTTCTCGTTGGGCAGACGTACCCCGTTACTGCAGTGCCTGGGCCGCACTCGCGTATGATCACCAACACCACCAAGTATAGACTGCAGGCTATTGCATACAAGCTGTTAAAGCGCACAAAGGGCGAGAGACTGATTCTCGACCGATTGTGGAAATACTTTCAGGACCAAAACGAGATGCAGATGCGTCAGCGTCTGAAAGAATTCATGGAATACAACCGTAAGGGTGAGCACGCTGGTTTCTGGCGTCTCAAGCCAACGGCCAAGATACCGGAGAATGAAGAGATCTTGAAACTCGTAAGTCCAGAGTACGTGGCTTTGTGTGAGGCTATGCAAGTCGGTCAACGTCGCTTGCTCGATGCTGGTTATGGTAATGTCGAGGATGAGAATCAGGACACGACGGCAGGTGATGAGACCAAGTTATCAATCGAGCAGCAACTCGCACCGTGGATTACTACCAAGAACTTCGTCAATGCCACCCAGTCGAAAGCTATGCTTAAGCTATATGGAGAGGGTGATCCGAGTGGGAGGGGTGAGGCATTCTCATTTATCAGAGTGTCTATGAAGGATATTTTTTTGAGAGCGGGTGAAGATCCCGAGAAGGTCAGAGCCGATATTGAGAACAGGCCGAAACACGCACATAGATATACTGTCGCTGAGCAGCAGAAAGTTTACAAGGAGGAGATAGCCAGAATTTGGAAAGCTCAATTCAAGGCGCTTTCTAACCCAGTTGCACCAAAGCTCGACAGGAGGGATGAGGAGGCATTCGCCAGTCACCAGCGTGCGCAGAAGGAAGCAGACGAAGAGAAAGAGAAGGCCAAGTCGCAGCATGGCTCTAAAGTGCTCAAAGTAAGAAGATTGGTGGGTAACTCACATCGCACGCCGTGTACTATTAACAAATGTTCTAGATCAACGGCAGCTGGCAGACAGAAATAGTTGAGGACTCGGCAGTAATAAGTGCATACGTACGTAAGAGACAAATCATCGAAGATCAATCACTCGACGTCGATAAGATTGAGCCAACGGGAGATGAAGAGTTAGACAAGCGTCGCGCCAAGATGATTGAGGAAAAGATCAATCTGATGCGTCGCAACCAAGAGCGTAGACTGCAGCGCAAGAACCAGCAGCTTACGTCAGCCGGTGGAGAGCCACTGCAGATGAAGACAACGACTAAATCAGACACGACGCGTAAATGTGGAAACTGTGGACAAATAGGACACATGAAAACAAACAGAAAATGTCCACTGTGGGCTCAATTCCACGGTCCTAATGCTCAGCCATCACCTAGTGCAGCTGCACAGTTACCAACACCTACAGTAGCTGCAACACCAGGATTCGCGAGTGGTCTGCCATCTACACTTGATGCTAATAATGTTGGTGGGTTGGGTACTCCCCAAGCTCAAGGGCAAGGACAAGCGCAAATGCAATCGCAGGCAGGAACGCCTGGCACTTCACAGCCTGGTACTCCAACCAATGCTGCGTCTGCGTCTGCATCTAAAGTAAAGATCAACGTTGGTAACAAATCATCACCTCAAGCTTCAGCAGTACCGCAACTACCACCGCAATTCTTACAGCCTCAGCAAATTATACAGGCTCAACAAGCTCAACAGGCCCAGCAAGCTCAGCAATTTGCTCAACAACTTGCTTCGCAGCAGCACGATCAGCACCAATTTGCTCAATTCCCGTTCCACATGCCTGATCAAGACGAGCAGTAGCCACCATCTTGATTGCGTTCACCATATTAATAATTTTATTTATAATCTGTATATGAATATGCATCATTATTTACAATAAAATGGTTGAATGTTAAAGTAATTTCTAGTAAGCGCGTGTATACGTGTTTGCGAGTATATCAAAGGTAAATCATAAAGTTAGAATGCATATCAAGCAACGGATCCATAGTTGTTATTGTCTCTTTCAGAGTGTGTAGGTGAACCGACAACCGAAGTTGTGAATTTCGCTCTATTGCTACTGTTAGTTGGATGTCTAGCAGCTGGACTTTTAATGAGTGCTGTATTCTCGTCAGTGAGGTTCTCCACTAGATCCTCGTTTGACATATTGGCCACAGTGCTGTTAGTATTAGTGTTGGTGTTAGTGTTGGTGCTACTAATAGGGTGACTGCTGTCCATCACAGTCGCAGATGGACGTGCATACTCCATTGTGCTGGTGGATGGAGTAGACGTGCCATGCTTCTTCCTGAAATTGGCGACTGGTGATTCTGCTCTAGAATTTGTACTCTTCGTACTCGATTCTGGTAAACTGCCTCTCCTGACTGCTTTCTGACGTTCATAGATACCCTTGATGTATTGGTGGGTGCGCACGACACGTCTTTTCGATCTATTATCCATAATCCTAAGAGTGGGCAAATTATCCAAGTCAGTTGAAACGCTTTATCCAGACACATAACTAACCTATCAGACTCGTCGATAATCTCTTCCCCAAGAATCTCCTCCAGGACATCCTCGAGAGTCGCAACACCAAGCACACCTCTGCCTTGAAGATCACCTGGGTGTTCAGTAATCACGAGAAGGTGGGCACGACCAGTCTGGAAGTAGTCTAAGGCCTGGAAGCAGCTGATGTTTGGTAGAGCTTCTGGCAAGACGGCTAAAGGGGAGAGATTAGCAGGTAGCTTGAGTGCTTTTAACAAACTCACACAGCGCAAAGTCACTGACAAGCCACTTATCTTCAGGATCATATTTGATGAGCTTCTTAACTAGGAGCATACCAATGAAGCGTGTAGGATTGTTAGGGGTGTGAATCGGGATTCTCGAATAACCGTGATGCAAGATTTTGTCAATCACAACACCATCGACAACTTGATCACTTGATAATTTGTAGACATCTTCAATGGGGGTCATGATGTCCATGACTTTCTTCTCATTAAGTGACAAGCAAGCCTCCATGATATTGATCTCGTCGTCTTGTAAAGGCTCAACGCCATATCTGTGTAGATTCAAGAAAGACTTGAGTTCAGCCTTTTTGTCTGGAGGATGGGTGAGACATATGCAAAAGGGCAAGAAAAACAGAGAAACTGACAAGTAGTGTCGTGCTGAGAGCCTAAAATGAAATCAAGGAGTTTTGAGAGGGGGTATGTGATTGGAGAGGTGAGGTAACAGAGGATCAAGACGAGAGGGGAGAAGAAGGAGCCGATGGCTAAGCCGTGTCTGGCGCAGATAGACTGAGGTATTATTCTGTGGGAGTGGGAGAGTCAGAGTGGTTAAAACGGGGGAATAGCAGAAAACGCACTCTCCAAACATGAAGATAGAAGCTGTGGAAATGAAAATGGCAGACTGAGGGAGAATGAGAAATGAGCGATACGAACAAGTGTAAAACCCACATAACCACCGCCAAGGATGCTATCAAGGAAGATTGGAAGTGCTTCGTTTACGACCGAGTTGGAGAGGAGGAGAACGGAGAGAATCCAATGTCTACCGAGAGACAAAAGGTTAATTAAACGCTTTGCGTGATCCCTTTCAGTTTGAGATTCGCCCGAAGTTTCAAGGACTTTCAAGTTCAAGTCATCGAGGGAGAGGATACCGAGAGTGAGACTGGAGTGGTGTGAGAGTGGAAATGGCTTATCGAAACCTAACTGACCCAGCAAATAAGCCACCAGACAGAACCAAGGAAATTGAGATAATGAGTTGTACATAGAAGAGAGTTGTGCCTGGGGGATGTTCCTTGTGGAGAATAGTAATAGGACTGGCTATTGGACTTGCGATAGACAAAGAAACTTGCAGCAAGTAGAGTGAAATTGGTCTTCTCATTTGAGCTCTTTGACCTATTGGGAGTTTGAACGTAAGGGAAGGTAAAAAGGATGAAATGTACAAAATACTTTAAAATTTAAATTAATTAATATATTAATACTGCCTTTGTCCCCATGTCCGTTGCTTTGGGATTGCTTCGAGTGATTCCATGGAAGTTACTGAGTTTCCGCGGATAACCTGGGGATTTTGGTGAATAGTGATTAATAGATATGTTGTACCCCCTACAGTCTGACCAATCTTGCTCTTTTCACCCGCAACAGATTCATCGTGTGCATCATCCAACACTAGATTCAAGAACAAGTCAAATCCTCTTAATTGCCCGGTAACCTTTCTATTTGCTTGTAGATTTACAAGAACACGCTTATCCATGTACTGTTGAGTGTTAGCTAGTAATTTACAAGCAAATCACTTGGACAACCTTCTTCAACTCTGGGTTTGATATTTTTGCGGACATGACTGTGAACTAATAGTGTTAATTTGATGTAAAGACTAGAAATATTTACTAGTAAACCTTTTATACGTGGTAGTTGGCGGTTAACCAGTAACAAGTAACGATCAACAACTCCCAACACCAAAATGGCCTTACCAAACGCACTATCTAAATTACTTGTACCCGCTGCTATTGGCGTCTCATTCTTACAATCCTCTATCTACGACGTCCCCGGTGGCTTCAAGGCTGTCCTATTCGATCGTTTCTCTGGTGTTAAGGATACTTCGACTAGTGAAGGTACTCACTTGCTCATCCCCTGGCTACAAAGAGCAATCCTCTATGACTGCCGTATAAAGCCTCGCAACATCGCCACTACAACTGGTTCCAAAGATTTACAAATGGTTTCTCTCACTTTAAGAGTCCTTAGTAGACCTGATATTGAAAGACTGCCTACAATTTATAAGGGTTTGGGTTTAGACTATGAAGAAAGAGTCCTGCCTTCGATCGGTAACGAAGTACTTAAGGCTATCGTTGCTCAGTTTGATGCCGCTGAATTAATCACCCAAAGAGAGGTTGTCTCTAGTCGTATACGCGATGATCTTCTCAAAAGAGCCGATGAGTTTAACATCAAATTGGAGGACGTCTCAATCACTCATATGACTTTCGGTAAAGAGTTCACAAAGGCTGTCGAACAGAAGCAAATTGCTCAGCAAGAAGCTGAAAGGGCTAGATTTGTTGTTGAGAAATCTGATCAGGAGAGAAAAGCTAACATTATCAGGAGTGAAGGTGAAGCTGAAGCTGCGTCGACTGTTTCCAAAGCTATGGATAAGTATGGTGAGGCTATACTCACTCTTAGAAGAATTGAAGCTTCAAAGGATATCGCTACTAGATTGTCCAACGGCACAAATCAAAATGTTACTTTCCTTCCTTCTGGAAATGGTGGTGGTAATGGTATACTACTTAATGTTCCAGCTGGGGAGAATAGCCGTGTTTAATGGGGCTTAGGGGGTTTTCAATTATTTTGCATCATCACTCTGACAATGAATATAAATACAAGTACATAATGTGACTGCAATTGCGACTGTACTACAACTACGACACCTTCTGTCGCTTACTGTCCTCCCGATCAATATCCTCCTGCTGTCTATATCTACTATCACCAACGTCATCGCGCTTCTTCTTAGTAGTATTCTGCACACTAGTATCCTCGTCTTTAAGCGTCTTATACTTTGTCTGCTTGATCTTACCGAAATCTCTCACTTGCATCACTTGCGGGAGTTTACCAAGGTCGATTTGATTCTCCGTAGGTCCAGAAAGATCTCTCTTCAAGACATCCATATCCTGATGGAAAGCACCTTTATGCCAGAATTTCTGCATATAAGTACCGCCCTGTCTGGTTTTGTATTTCTCGTCGCGCTTCTGTTCAGCGAGGGCAGTGTCTTGCTTGATGCGTTCGTGTTCTGGCATAGCGCGTCTACGCTCTATTTCCTCCATCTCTTCATCGCGAATTTTCTTAGCCACCTCATGTCGCTCTATACGCTTCAATTCACGCAGCCTCCAAGCGTCGAATTCAGCCTGTGGGTCAAGACCATCTGTGTCGTCTACATCAGGGATGAGCTGTGTAGCGTCCTTCTCTGCCATCTCCCTGCGTATACTGTCAGCCACCATATCAATCGACGCCTGTTTCCGCTCTTCATCTGCTTCTTCTCTCTTTCTTTGCGCTTCTTCTGAATCTTGGGTCTGTTTCTGCTGCTGTAGGGTGGTCTCGCGAGCGCGTCTAGTTAGTGGCTACTTAGATGGTCCTGTGTGTGTAGATGGATGCACCCACTTTGGTATGAATGTTGGTTTAAGACGGGGTGCTGGGGCTTCTTCTGAGCTTTCTTCTGAGCTTTCTTCTGAGCTTTCTTGGCTGCTTTCTTGGCTAATTTCTTGGTTATCGCCCGTTTCAGACTCTTGCTTGACTTGAGTTCTGCCGATATCCAAATCCTTGATATTTGTGCTGATAGCCATGTTACGAGTATCAGGCTTGATATCAGGCTTTATATCCTGATCGATAGTATCAAGAGCAGTGATATTCTCATTCCCATTCTCGTTCTCATAGTCGTCGCCGTCTTCCTCTTCCTCATCCTCACTCTCACTCCCACTGCCATCGCTCCCCTCCGCCTGCACCGGTCTCTGTCCAGGTCTGTATCGCTGTGCGGGCTTAGCCACTTTCAGCGATGGTTTCCGTTTTTCCGCGAGTGTGGCCATGGCGGTGTGTTATCAACCCACCTTGCCCGCCAACATCCATGACGACGCGATTCAAAAATGATTCTTTATGGATAGAGACTGTGGGTGCAGCTTCCCGTGTTGTTATTCTCCTTGCTCATCTCCCAGCACACAGGACACAGGCAACAGAATCTCCCGCAAGGCGACCATCTGCGCACCCGTCAACATAGTCCTCTCGGGCAACGTAATTATAAAGGCCGACGTCATCATCCGCGGCGATCTTAAACGCGCCGGTCCTTCCCCCTCTATAGCCATGAATATTGGTAAATACACCATCCTCGATGAGGCTTGCGTTGTGCGGCCGGCGTACAAGACATACAAAGGCACTTTCAGCTACTACCCGATGAAAATTGGTGATTATACTTCAATCGGTGCACACTCCGTGTTGGAAGCCGCGGCCGTAGGTTCCTATGTCGACATTGGACGCGGGTGTGTGGTGGTGGGTGGAGTGGCACTTATCTAATACACCTATCCTAACATCCTTCTCCCCAGGGTCGTTTCGTCGTTATCAAGGACTGCGCCAGACTCACTCCAGGCTCCGTTGTCCCTCCTAACACCGTCATCCCCCCGTACGCCCTCTTCAGCGGGTGTCCCGCCACTCAAATAGACACACTCCCTGAAAGTACCCTCGACAACGTCCAGCAAGCTACTACGTCGGCGTACAACGACTTTAAGATGACATGACGGAAGAAATGAAAATTTTATTGTCTTGGTTATTCCTCATACCCTCCACTTACATCACTCTATCCTTGTACTCGCAAGCTCTCTCTCCAGCTCTACAGAAGGATCGTCGAGGACGTAGCTGCCTTGGTCGCTTCTTTCGCCAGTGGTGTAGTTGCAAGTCAGGCTCTGTGTGTCGTCCGCGAGCTGCAATTCCTCTCTCGATGGAACGGGGAGGGAGTGCGCGGTAGCCGAATCATTCATTTGCTTCTCCCTCTCCCTCTCCCTCTCCTCCCTCTCCCTCTCCATCTCCATCTCCATCTTTTCCCTCTCCTGCTGCTCTTGCTGTTGCTGCACACCCAGCGGCGTCCTCACCTTTTTCCTGAACGACTTAACTTCATCTACAATAAGGTTGCGCATACCCTCAGGGCTATCTTCGACCTCAAAGCCGAAATCGAAGCGCTCCCTACAGCTCGGCTCGTCGGAGGGATCGTGCCAGACTGGTTATAGGGTTTGTGAGAGTGAGCCAAACTAAAAAACACCCCACCCACCAGCCAGATAAGGATGCTTAAGGGCTTCCTCGCACGTGATTCGCTTGGCGGGATCGAATGTCAGCATTTTGCTGAGGAGATCAAGTGCGAGTGGGTTAGCTTTCGGGTAGATGCGCTCGAATGGTATGCGAGGCTTGATGGGGAGTGAACGAATGTATTCGACGGCCTGTGTGTGTGTGGTGTGAGTTGATCAGTTAAATTCGCAAGCCACGCTCACTCACCCGCGGACTACCAACCCTCCTCAACGTCTCTTCCGATGGTGTGCCAAGGACATGCAGTATCTGGTTGAGCTGTGTAGTGTGAGTATTGAGTGCCACTTGCATGCCAATATAACTCCCACCTGGTCCACATAATCCCTCCCCTTGAAAATGGGTCTTCCGCCGAGAAGTTCAGCGAGAATGCACCCGACGCTCCAAATATCGATCGAGGTGGAATAATTAGCGAAGCTAAGCATGATTTCGGGTGCCTGTAGTTATATAGTTGAATGATACGTCTACCTCATAAATGATAAACCCACTCTGTACCACCTAGTAGCGACATATTCAGTCATGAACCCAGCGCTACCAGCAAGACCAGCCCTGAGTGGATCAGATTGATACCCTCTTGCCAAGCCGAAGTCACATATCTTCAACTCGCAGTCGGCATTTACGAGGAGATTGCCTGGTTTGAGATCACGATGGATGACGTCAGCCGAGTGGATGTACTTGAGCCCGCAGAGGGTCTGGTAGACGAATGACTGGTAGTGCTGGTCGGTGAGAGCCTGACCTGATCTGATAATGGCGTGCAGATCAGCTTCCATCAATTCTTCGTCTGTAGAATATAAATGTCTCAGTTACCTGGAATGCCCCAACTCACACAGATAGATCTCGTTGAAGTTGGAGTAGTCGACAATATCCATATCGTAGAGGCATGTTATCTGACGAGGATGCTATTAGACGATGCCTCGCCGCCCCACTCGCTTCACCCACGTTCTTATGTGCGCGGAAATGATCGAGTAGTTTGATTTCCCTCAGCGCGCGCTTGGTGAGGATGGTCTGGTGTGTTTGTGTGAGTGTGTGTGCTTTGTACGCGTGTATGCGTTTTGCCCACTTTTGAGCTTGATTGAGTCAGCCAGACACCTCTACACAACTACGAAACCCACAAAACACCTCTGAGCTTCTTGATGGCCACTGAGTGGAGTGAGTTTGAGGTGTATCGACTGTGTCGCTGCTCACGTTTTGTCCCGCTGGCATCGTGCCTCCCCGCGACGACGCAGCCTGAAGCACCTGAGAATACTGCCACAAGTCCACTATCCACCCACCATACGCCCCCTGTCCGAGCTCCTTGTGCAGCGAGTACCCCTCTTGTACCGAGTACGTCGTGTTGAACGCCTGAAATTGTTTACGCGGCTGCAATTGCGCTGCGATTGGGGTGTTGGTTTATCCATTCTACATTCTCCCGCATTCTCTCACCCACACATTATCGATCCTCGCCGTGGCTGTGCAAGATGCAAGATCTTCTCGATGCTGGCGTCAAACTATTGAAAGCATTATACATGTCTATATACAGCACTAGCCTCACAAATCCTACCCCTTTTTATTCCACCTTGCGGCTATACTGCAGCTCACCAGCCCCGCCTGCCGCACTCGACAGCTGTTCAGCCATCAGGCGTCTGAATCTCCCGCCTCCGCTCTTAGTTAGTTCTTCAAAGCTACCGCTCTCACTAACGACGCCGTCTTCAAGACATACTATTTTTTGCGCGCTACGCAGTGACGAGAGCCGATGAGCGATAACGATAACGGTAGTCTGAGACTGGTTGAGGATGCGTCTTATAGCCTCATTCACCTGCGCTTCGCTCTGTGCGTCCAGCGCGCTGCTCGCCTCATCCAGCACCAGCAAAGCGGGTCGTTTGATGAGAGCGCGCGCAATAGCTATCCGCTGCACCTGTCCACCGCTCAGCGACGACGGCGTGACTGTAGTGTGGAAACCTTGTGGAAGCTGTTTGACAAATTCGCAATTCGCCTGCATAGCTGCATTGTACACGTCGAAACTACTTGCATTTTCTGTACCATATTTTATATTCTCCTCGATCGTTCCCGCGAATAACACGGGTCGTTGGTCTACTACCCCGATAATCTCTCGCCAGCTCTCAGGTGTGAAGGCGCGTATGTCGTGACCGTTGTATGTCACTCGCCCGCCGTTTGGATCGTAGTAGCGCAGTAATAACGCTATGATCGACGTCTTGCCCGCACCAGATGGTCCGGCTATCGCTACACTCTGGCCTTGAGGGACTGTATGGTGTGTCAGTCTCAGTCTTAGTGCTAGTCTTGCTTGGGTAGGATTCACTATCCCTCCACTCTCAACACTCAACACTCACCATCAAATGATACATCACGCAGTATCGTCGCATCTGGTCGCGTCGGATACGTGAAAGCACAGCGCTCGAACCGCACCGTTCCGCTAGATTTGCCTCCGAGCACACTAGCCAAATCGTATCCTTCGCCCAGTTTGATCTGCGGCTTACGTTCTATCAGTGCAAAAACGCGTTCACCGGCGCCCAATCCGCGCATCATAGAACTATAGAACGAGGTAAGGCTAGAGAGGGAGCTGCCCACATAAGCCGAGTAAAGGAGAAGAGAAGAGAGGTTGCCTATAGTAATCTCACCCAATCCCACAAGATGACCACCGTATGCCAACAGTGCGAGGATGGAAAGGTTACCCGAGAACCCCGTACTGCCGAAAAAGACACCACTCGCAATCGCCTCCCTCCTACCTAGCTGCAGGACAGTATCTATCTTTCTGGAGAACCGCTTAGCTTCCCCATCCTGTGTGTTGGATGCTGTGATAGTGCGGAAGGCGCTTAGACGCTCGTTGGCTAAGTTACTAGCGTCTGCGAGAGCATCCTGCGAGGCTGTCGAGAGGCGTTTCAGGTAGCGACCGTAGAACACCGCTCCGATAGCTATTGGGGGCACTATCGTTAACATTACCGTCGTCAGTTTGCTGCTGATGAAAAACATGGCGCACAGCCCAAACACACTGAACACGCTCGCGCGCAGACCGTCGGAAAGAGATTGCGTTACGCAGTCAGTAAGGATTGTTGAGTCGGAGGTGAGACGAGAGAGAGTCTCCCCACTCCCTTTATCGGCGAATTCTACATCTTGCTTGAGCGCATTTGAGTAGGCGTCAACGCGCAAGCGGTTCACTATACGCTGACCAGCTAAACGAAATAACATGGCGCGGCCGGCGTTGGCTGCTGCACCAACAGCGAATAAACCTCCTAAAGCGCACGTCACGCTGGTAAGGGAGTAGCCAAAGAAAGCATCCGGTTTAGCACCGGAAAAGAGGTCAATGAGAGAACCAATAGAGGCGGGTATAATGAGCGACACTGATGAGCTGATGGCGAGGAAAATTACGCCTTTGGAGAAGGTTGATTGCTCAGTTTTGATTACGTCGATGAGTTTCGCAGTGGGCATCCGTATTTTTGGGGCGTTGTTGGGAGACCTACGCAATGGTAAGATAGAAGACAAAGACAATGGTCTCGAGAGTATCCGATTGCCATTGTTTGATAGGGTAAAAGGTACGGTGCATCGAGTGGGTTTGAGGACGAGATTTTTAGTGCAAAATGATCGCAGGATCATGATCTACAGGATAAAAGGAAATTCGGGTAAAAATGAGTAGAAAATTGAATGAGATTGGTGGCGGAGATGGACGTTGTTGAAAAGCGATGGAGGGGTTGAAATCACAAGAGGTAGCGTTAGGTAGCTGGGCATTGTTATTCGGGGAAATAATAAATTATAATTTAAATCGAGTGGATGGGATCGGTGAGCTGGAGAGTAAGTTGAATTGGCTGGGATATCGAGTTGGGCAGAGGCAGTTGGAGTTGATGAGATGGAGGGCGGAAGGCGCAAGTAGGAATCCCAAGCAGCCAACTAGTTTGATTGAGGTGTTGCAGATGGTTCATACGCCGGTGTGTAGCGATTTAGATAGATGTAAGCGCATCTAAACAACCCAAAGATATGGAAATCACTCTTCAATAAGCCAGCAGACAGCCTTGAAAGATCCAAGGAAAATTCAAATGAATTTATGATTACAGATAACACACCACTTCTATCACGCAGCGTGTGTATTCCAAGCGATTTGAAGAATCTGTCTACAGAATCATTCACAGCTGGAATTGTTGAGAGCGTGTTGGATGGATTCAACTACAAGGCAACAGTATCCGCACACTCAGTTCCAACCAGCCAACACCCACAGCGTACAACGATATTAATTAAATTAAATTGAAATGATAAATATTATTGGTATGGGTGCTATTGGTAGTTTGTTGGCGTGTAAATTCCACTTGAAATGCTTAAATTATGCATGTAATTTCAAGTCTTTTGGGGGTTTCATTAGATATTCCTTGTTTGATGGCAGACAGGGGCTTTTTACACCTAATAAATCACACAATAACCCTATTAAAAAGCTAGTCGTGGCTACAAAAGCTAATGATGCTTTAAACTCACTTGAAACAATCCACCCTCTACTAGCACCAGACGCTAGCATCTTATTTTTGCAAAATGGACTCGGATTTTTAGAGCCTAAGGCTATAAACAAGTATAGCCAGCAGATTCTAATTTCTAATCTCAGTATGGCTGCTGCGTTTCAAGATGGCATACTCACAGAAGCCAGCAACGGTGGTACACTCAATGTAACAGCGTACAATTCCAATCAACAGCTCAATAACAATTCAAACTCACTTCTTTCTACCCTATCGCAGCTAGATGGCATCAAGGTACACATCCTGGACACTCCCACCTTCCAACACACCGCACACCTCAAACTCACAGCCAATTGCGCCATAAACGCGCTAGCCACGCTACAAAATTGTAGAAACGGTGAGTTGATCCACTTCAATGAGCTCGTACACTCCATAGTCGATGAATGCTGCACTGTTTTAGACCTAGACCACCACTCAACCCATCTTTACACCAAAAACATAATAAACACAACAGCACTCAACTATAACAGCACTCACACTGATATTCATCAGCGTAGAAAGCCTGCAACACACACGGAAGTTGAATTTCTCAACGGTTATATCATCAACCAAGCACGCATCAAAGGCATAAGCACACCGAACAACCAACGCCTGTACGATGAATTCATGCATAAATTCAAATGATTTGTTGTGTTAGCTCTGCTTGGAATATTTTCAACTATCCCAAATATCCTCTTATCAACTCACTCCCGCCCATCCACACACTAAAATTTAAATTTACAAATGGGCGACTCTGTTATGATCGACACAGAAACACCAATGGTGTCTACGTCCAACGAAACCATGGACACCCAAGACGTTCCCGTCTTCGCTCCAGCCAAGAAGACGCAATCCACTTCTGTTGATTTGAAAGGCCAGACGAGGCGTGAGTGGATTTTTATTCGCCTTTTTATCTTTTCTCACTATTTCACTCTCCCAGGCGTTCTCATACCCGGTCACAGAATGTCCCCGCTCAAGAAAGACTGGGTGAACATCTACGGCCCTTTAGTCGACCTCCTCAAGCTGCAAGTGCGCATGAACCCTCAAAAAAGAGCCGTTGAACTGCGCTCCTCGAAGCACACGAATGATTCCGGCCACCTCCAGAAAGGTGCCGATTTCGTCAAGGCATACGCCCTCGGTTTTGCTGTCGAGGATGCAATTGCCTTGCTTAGACTCGATGACCTCTACATCGACAGCTTCGAAGTGAAGGATGTGAAATCGCTGCAGGGAGACCACCTCTCACGCGCTATTGGCAGAATCGCTGGTCAAAATGGCAAAACCAAGTTCGCGCTCGAGAATGCTACACGCACTAGAATCGTCCTCGCTGACACTCATATTCACATTCTCGGCGCTTTCAACAACTGCAGACTCTGTAAGGATTCCATATGCAGCCTGATCTTGGGTAGTCCTCCAGGAAAGGTTTACAATCACCTCAAAGTCGTCGGCGCTAGACTCAAGCAGAGATTTTAGTTGTTTCGCTCTCCTTCTTTTTTGTACTCTTGTCATGGGATATTTTATTGTTATACAGTAAAGTTAAAAATAGTGTGCATCATGAATAGTTGTTTAGTATCTTTATTAAAGACGTGCTTGTTGTCGTTATCTGTTATACCCTATCCCAAGTCCTCATCACTTCCCTTGTAGTCGATCGAACGGTCTCCAAGGGGTGAGACGCGGGATTATTCTAATCCCAGTGCACTCATAGAAACTCTTAATCAGCCACCACTCCAAGTATATCAGCGTAATGATGAAAATTGTCATCCACGAAGCGCTAACGAACGACTCGACGTGGAGTGAAATTTTGCCATCGACATTTTGTGGGCCGTGTGTGCCATGTGTGCCCTCAGAGACCATTCTCACGTATGCGCCTCGTAATTTCTCTATCGCAACGGACCTACGGCCATCACTTATCCTCGTCGCGCTGAATATGTCGACAAACAACCGTGCATCGCTCACCCGGGCGAGGTCTTCACAATTCTGGGTGAGGACATCCACCGCATACATCGGGTTAGGTGAAATGAGGAGTTGTTTGTAGAACTCGAACGAGCGTATTGTAATGTGAAGGGTGTGTATGGCTTGTGATGGCCATGTGTCGCCCGCATTGCGAGCAAGGAGTGTAACCGGTGTTATATTCCGATCCGTGTACTCGAACCGGATGCACACATCACGATAGCGTGTATTGAGCGTATGCAGCAGAACACTCTCCACCACACGTTGCGCCCACCTGCTCAACACCGGCTGGGCAGGCAGGCCCATAAAGCCTGTCATATCTCCTGTCTGGGTCGGGTTCGTTCGCGAGCTTGTCAGAGGCGGTGCTGGATGCACGCGCAGCCCACGCTTCACGTGCATATACCAGCCTGTCTTGACGAACTGCAAGGCTATTTTGATATTGGAGAAGGTGTAGTCTTTGAGTAGGTGCACGACACTCGTCGCATTCATCTTTTCCACCGATTCCACCTCCAGCCTGCCCACTAGCAGGGCCTGCATGTGCTCGTCAAACACCGTCGTGCGGAAATTCGGCTTCCGCGGGGCGTGTTGACAATTGCACTTACACTCGCATCCTCCACCGTCGAACGGACTCGTCCATGTGAATCGGTAGTACCCGCTGCGCGGCTCGGTGGGTGAGACATGGTGAGCGCGAGCCATAGTGGCTGTGTACTGGTACCCGCTGTCTCTGTATGATGGTTAATGCTGCTACTGCAATGGCTGCACCATCCACTCACTTCGCCGCCGCTTGCACCTGTCCCGCCTTATTGTGATCGACAAGATAGACGTGTCTCTGACCGGAGGAATTATGCGTGCAAAAGATGGTGCAAGTGGGTCTACCGTGCGCATACACCCACGCTACTGATACATTGTTCACATGCGAAATGCCCAGCGTGATCGGCAGCGTCATCAGCCAGACTGTGTGGCACATTGCATCGGGGTCGTAGCCTCGTTCGCGGAGTACTTGCTTAAGGTTGTCGAGAATAGAGTAGCCACTGCGCGAGTAGTGCTCGCTGAAATACATGCTAGGTGACACCCTCAGCAGCGAGGCGGTGCGTTGCGCGGACTCACTGAATAGCCCATTGCTCGTTGAAGTGTTGCGCAGTCGATACAGAACGTATAGGAATTTGTTGTTGAAGCTGCTCCCCACTGGCCTCATTCGGCGGTGTGGCGCACTAACTCGCAATGCATAGCAGTCTCGCTGCTCCGTGTACTCCTTCTGCACTGCAAATATTGTCAGTAGCAGTATTGCGCTTTGGAAGTATTGCAGCATGGTGCACTACCTGTACAATATCGCCATTGATTAAGTATGGTAAATTTTTAACTCCTGATCGCTATTTGACGGATTTGGCAAGGTAATATTCGGAAAAGCTGTGCAAATAGATTTGAGACTGACTATGAACATCTAACTTTTTAATCATATATCCCTCATTCACCCCTTTTAGGATATGATATATATATTTTCAGACATGTTTCAGAATTTGCGACGTAGGCGTAGTCGTCTATTATTTCATGAGTGTACAAGTGGGCGTGTAGGTAATGAATATTTTAGTAGTCTATGGTTTAATTCTGCGTTTATGCGTCTATATCGCCCCCATCTAGCCCCGCGACTTGGTTATTCCATCTTGGAGTCTATCAAATGGTCTCCAGAGTGTAAGACACGAAACTACTCAATCTCAACCATCTCATAGAATATTTTAAGAAGCCACCATTCAGCGTAAATCAGCGCTATAGTGAACCCTGCCAACAAAGAAGCGCTAATGAATAACTCTGCGTTGAGTGAGGAAACTTTTCTGATCAGTACAGTTTCCATCCATGACCATTTGTGTCTACATTGCGTTTACTGTCCATCGCAAACGGCCCATCCTGAATTCTCGTTGCGTCAAGTAAGTATAAAACAGCTCTGTATCGCTCACTCGCGCGAGACTCGCTGAATAGCTCATTGTTCGTCGGAGTATTGAGCAGTCGATACGTCATGTACAGGAAGTCGTTGTTAAAGCTGCTCCCCGCTGGTCTCATTCGGCGTTGAGGTGCGCTTACTCGCAATTCATTGCAGTCTGGCTGTTTCGAATACTGCTGCATCTGCGCAGCAAAACTAATGAATAGCATTATAGCAGTTAGGAGACATTCAGCATTAATATTCACAGTCACAGTCCAAGACTTGTTTGTTCAAAATTCATATTCTAAAGTGTGGAGTGGGTACTGTTCTATGCGCGACTTAAGCACGTCCTAAAAGGAGCTTTACTCCGTTCATGAACAGCTGCGCTACATGCCTCTAAAACCCCTTTTGCTCTCTTCTAGCCTCGCACATTCCTTACGAAAACCCACCAGTGACTTGATATCACCAATAATTTATCTCCTGGTGACTGTCTTGCATCGAGGTACCGAATGGTCGGGATTTCCAAAATTTTATTTTTCTTACGAATGAGCACTTCTTATCTTGTCATTAATCTTGTTGTGAACTTTCCATTGGAGTTAAAGCACACATAATCAGTGATTCAGATTTGTGGTACAATGCCCGAGGTGATGGAGGTGATGTGCATGTGGATAATATTTGAAGCTCCTAGAGTCACTTTACTGTAATCTATCCAGGGGTTTCCAAGGCGTCTGACGGGGCTTAAATCTGACACCCAACAGCGTGAATAAAAATGCAAAAAGTCGGAGCTGGACCGAGATCGCGATAGCCATTATAAGCACCATCCAGCTATCCCCCAGAGGCTTTTCGAAGGCTTGCGTTCCACTCACGTCAAAATCAATTGTAGCATCTGGAGACTGATGAAGAATCCACTTAGCATGAGCTCGTCGAAGACCTGCTAGCCAGTTGGCCACAGTGAAGGCATGGCTGGAGGTGGAGTTATTTGATAACGAGGAATTTTCATCTAATGATAACAGACGCCTGAACAAATCATCGTCTGATATCCGCACCATATCTTCACATCTGCTACCAAGCACATTGATGATGTAGTCGACGTTAGGCGAGATGAGCATTTGTGTGAAAAATTCGTAAGAGCGAATGTTCAAGGTGAGTGTGTCATCTGCCCCCTCTCCAATTTCGGTAGGAGATATCAGTGGATCTGTGTAGGTGATGATCACTTTGACACGTGAATGACGTCGTACAGCGCTGTGTAACGTCTTCTCAATCGCTTTTCTCGCATGAAAACACAAATACGGCTCTGCATCGAAACCCAACGAGCCTGACTCGTCCAGCGACTGTGTTGGATTGGCTTTGGTGTTTAGCGTCACGCCTATATTAGGTTTGGGATAGAATGCTAGGTTTTTAAAATAATGGAGGTAAAGTGCTTGGTAGAGTATGCGAGCGAATGTGAGAAGGTTAGTGAATGGGCGGGTGGAAAGGTGTATAACGACCGATTTGAGGCTTATTTTTCGCGCATTTGCCTCACCAGAAGGCACCAAATTGGCAGTAAACTTGAGCTTCTCGTCCTGGTCGTAATAAGTGACTCTGATTTTAGGTGGTCTCAGTTGATTTTGAGAATTGAACGGGACAGACGCCTGTAAATTGTAAAAGCCCTGTCTGTCATTCATCGGGGAAACAAAGAAGGAGCGTGGCTGAAAGCTCTGATGGGTATATTCGCTGGAGGATATGCGCGTAGAGTCGTCGTTCGGTATGATATACATACTCCTTTCGCCATATGTGTTGTGTACCTAGGAGTGGATGTTAAATACATACCGGATACACTAATAGCCTAGCCCACCTCGAATATCGTCAGAGTGTGCCTCCGCTTGTCGTCATAGCAGAAGTATATCGATAGTGGATTGATATTGGACATTCCGAGAGTGGTAGGCATTGTCATTAGATAAGCAGAGTGAGCGGTATTCTCGCTATACCCTCTGTCATCTAGTGTCCGCCTCAGATTAGCGATTATAGACAAATCGTTGTAGCTAGTGGTGAGATAGCCGCGGGGATCAACTCTCAACAGCGACCACATTCTCCTAGACTCTCTAAACAGCCTACTCCTCTCACTTCTATTATCAAGCTTGAAAAGGGCTAGCGTGAGCGGATAGCTGAAGCTGTGGCTAGTCGGAGTGAATCGTCGGTGGGAAGTGGCGTAATTAATAAGGTAAGCATCCTCAACGTCTTGGTAGTTCTGAATTATGACGTATGTAGCTGCGACGGCGACAGCGACGCCAAGCAGGCCTTGGCCGGTAGTGGAGGTCATGGGTAAGGTACAACAAGCAGGATCGGGTGGAATATAAGTACAAAACGCAGTATGAGCTTAAGCGTGCTTCTCTTTTACTACTACACCTCTAAAAGCCCCTCTGATACGCTTTATGAAGGTGTAGAAGCCACGGGAACTGTTGAGCTCATGGAGGAGCAAATCGAGCTCGTCTGGTCGTGGATTGCAGGATACGACTGGGTGAGTGGGTGAGTGGGGTGCATTAATGCGTAATACACTAACCTTTATACTCCGGCTCGCTCAAATCCAATTCGATTGAAAATTGTCTGTCTGGTTGGCGGTCATCGATTTGAGAGAAAGCAAGGAAAATGCAGTCGACTGTGTTAATTGGAGGTGTTAGGGTGGCTATGTATTTAAACATCCACTTACGTTTATTACTTCTCAACTTTAAACCCAATTTCTGCTCAAAGAAGGCTAATTCAGGAGCATTCTTCGCAGCCTGACCATCAAGAGTCTTCTTCTCGCTCTCAATCATGTCTTTGTGTTTGTTTATTCTTTCCCTGTACTCTTCTATTTCAGCAATCAAGCCGTCTCTATTAGTAGAATGTGATCTCATTTCACGCATGTAATTGCTGATTTGATCCTTCATTTCCTGCACCTCCTGTCTCTCTCTTTCAATATCTCTCACGACATCAAACTCCTTCTTCTTCAGATTCTCGATTTCCTCTTTTATCCGAGACTGATTCTCCTTCTCCTCATTCAATGCCTTTGCGTGATCAGCCTTGCGCTTCATGACGCGCTCTCTAACGTCGCTAGAATGTGAATCAAGGGCAAGCTGCAGTGTAGCCATACGATCCCTTGCCTTATCGAGTTTAAGAAGGTTTTGTTGTTGCTCGTCCGTGGAAGAAGGCTCACTAAGGCGTATAAGATTGAGAATTATAATAATAAGCATTCACGCACTTTGATAGTGTCCTGCTCAGTAATTTCTTTTGCGGCGTCGTCATCGAATTGCTCGAAGACGCGTTCTGCGCGTAATTGCTCTTAATCTCAAAATGTCAACATTACCACCACGCGAAAGGGAAATACTGTCGAAACCAGAAGTGCAGCGTAAGGCAACAGTCGCGCAGTTGTGTGAGTCAACTTAGGAACCCCGATTAAGGTTGTCTCATACAGCTGAATAGACTTTTATGATTATTACTTTGATTTATTGGGATATATACACAATCGCAAGCAGAGGCTAGATCAGAAGGTTTCTGATTTACAAGATACTCAAGATACCCGCGTTGCTCAGAAGGATTGGAAGTCTTATTGCGGTAGAGAGAGAGCCTTGCTGTGGGTGATTATGCATTTAGACATAGCCCTTCTAAATCCCTTCGCAGCCGCAAGCGACGCACTAAAGTTAAGTTTAACCACTTCCACATCATTTGCCAGGTTGGTCAAGGCGGCTATGGTGAAGTTTACCTCGCACGTAAAGCAGACACAGGCGAAATCTGCGCGCTCAAGCAAATGCGCAAGAAAACGCTACAGAAGATGGACGAAGTTAAGCATATCTTGATAGAACGTGACATTCTCACTACAGCCAAATCACCTTGGTTGGTCAGGCTGTTGTACGCATTTCAAGACATCGATAGCGTCTTCCTTGCCATGGAGTTCGTTCCTGGTGGTGACTTCCGCACTCTCCTGAACAACTCGGGCGTGTTGAAAGAAGAACACGCCAAGTTTTACATTTCTGAAATGTTCATGGGTATAGATACACTACACAAACTTGGATACATTCACCGCGATCTCAAACCGGAGAACTTCTTGGTTGATAGCTCTGGTCATGTCAAACTCACCGACTTTGGTTTGGCCACAGGTGCGCTTAACCCTGCGAGATTAGACTCCCTCAAGCACAAACTCGATGAAGTGAAGGAGAACGACATTATTTACAGATCCACAATAGAGCGCAGATCCATATTCAAATCTATGAAGCTCAACCAGGCTAGATGGGCAGATAGTATAGTCGGTAGTCCCGATTATTTAGCTGCAGAGGTTATTAGAGGCAAGCCATACTCCTTTGCCGTCGACTACTGGTCATTAGGCTGTATTTTGTTTGAGTTCTTAGCTGGTTTCCCTCCATTCTCGGGAGCAACATCTGATGAGACCTGGACCAATTTGCGCAACTGGCAGAGGGTAAGTTATTGGTGCTGATTGACTGTTGCTGACATACTCGTAGGTGCTAAGAAGACCTGTCTACGACAAACCAGAAGACTTGATTTTCAACCTGTCAGATACGGCTTGGGACGCAATAACCAGTCTCATCGCGCCATTGGAAACGCGTATAGCTACACTCGAAGGTTTAAAAAGCCACCCCTTCCTTAGCGACGTTCCATGGGACAATCTGCGCGAGACACCAGCGCCATTCATACCTGCACTAGACTCTGAGGAGGATGCTGGGTACTTTGATGCCTTTGACGATCCTGAAGATATGGGTGGGTTAGACCCATTCTTATATGCTCTTCTAACCACAGCGACTAGTGAAATACGCCGAAGTCAAAGAAAAGCAACTCAAAATCGAAGCAATGCAAGACAAGAACAACAAAGTCGAAAGGGGCCTCTTTGCGGGTGAGTAGAAGGGATTATGAGATGGTGCATTACTAAAACTCATTTTAGGATTCACATTCGCACCCCGTCAAAAGACGACGGAGCAACTGGCAACAGCCCTCGCCAAACCGGAAGACGCACTTTCTACAATATTCTGAATAAAGGCATGGAAACATACATTGTAGCATAGCAATGTGACAGCATGATACTCTAACATCCACCTAATATAGCACTTAATTCATAAATGAAAACTTGATATCATAGACATGTTTGGTATTGTGTATGTGATATCTTTAAACCATACAGTAGTTCCAACTGTTGTAGCATCTCTCGCTGTGAGTTTGTGAGTTTGTGAGTTATGTTGTGAGTGAAAGGTGGTGTACGCTCACTTTCTGCAATAGAACTCTTCTAGCGGAGTACGGCCTCGGCAATAACGACAAACCCAAGTGGTTTCCTCAATCGTTTTTCCTTTAGGGTTTGTCGTGGAGGTGTTTTGTAGTGACTAGAAGGATTAGCTGGACGAGCTGGGAATGAACAATTCGACTCGCTCACCTTGGCTGCAATTGCACACATGGTGGTTCGGCCAACACTAGCATGGGCCGATTACTCCTATCCACCCCTCTGTCCGCCGAAATCCAATCTTATTCGTCACAGTGCAGGCTGCGATGCTGTGATGATGTGACGATGTGACAACGTGTAAGCGTGAATATTACTGCAGCTGTAAATGTACTGGTGCCTTACAGACGTGCACTGACTCAGAATTACATTGCGGTGTATGACGCGATAAGAGTTTGTAGTCGTACCCAGTATGTATATGGTTTTCTGTAATATGCTCTGGCAGCTTTCAAGTCCTGTGCGTTGTTGCATTCTGATAATGTTACATACATGAGTGGATGTTCTTATTCACTGGATTGTGATATCTACAGACATTTTGTTCATTTTGATGCTATTGGTTTGTTTGTGTTCTTTGTTATATATGCACACAAAGAGACAGTGGTTGGGCTAATTCGCCTTGATAATTCCGCTCTATTTTTCACTAGCTCGATGGACGGGGATAGCTGCAGTATGGGCAGCTTGGAAACATGGCTTCAATCCACCTGATGCATGCAGAATTCGCGCATCTCCATCTCTGTCCGTCGGAACTCCAGCGCGGTATATTGATGGGCTTAGTCATTGTGTTTCTTCGGCAAGGGTTTCTCTGTCAACCGGATCTCAATACAGTAGATCTTTCTGATAGCTGCGCTACGTCACGACTTGGTATTTATACAGAGCACGTGAAATTCGCCAGGATGCAGGACGCGTTGAAATGTTGAGATTTTGGTTGTATACCAAGTGAATTTCGATTGCTTAATTTTACGAGAATATGTCAAAGCCTGCCTTCCGGGACACCGAGGCATGTTCGGTATTTTGCGGAGTTGAGGTGAGAAAGTTATGCAACATCAAGTGTACTGCAGGCCAGCTTAATCATGCAGGTATAATATTATACTAAACAAACAACAGCACTGCTAAATAATGCTAAAATTTGTTTGTTTGGTTTCTCAACTTGTGTCAATAATTGGGGTGGACTTTTTTTGTAAAATTAGTTATTAGCTTTAAGACTCTACAGGTTAAAATGTAATGCTGCGTTTGAGTAATTCAAGCACACCAGGGAGTTAGTGAATTTGAGATCGTAAAGATATTCATGAATTTGCGCAAACAATTAATTTATCATATTATTCTAGCGAATTAGCACTTTCTTTGGTTCAGATTCGGGCGCGTGTCTTGAGTATCTGAGGGTGAGCAAACCGTTATCGTAGGCGGCGTGAATATTGTCCTCTGTTATGTGCTCTGGGAGTCTCCACGTTCTGCTGATTGAAGGAGCTGAGTTGAGTTCGCTGATTAAGTATCTTTGCTCGTCCGACTTCTTTGATTCTTCTTCAGCTGGCTTGCTAGCCTTGACACTTATTTTGTGGTCGTGGATAGAGATTTCTAGCTGCTCCTTCTTGTAACCAGCCAGATCTACTCTCGCTTCGTACGAGTTGTCATGTTGAATCAGATCGAGTCTGGCAGCTACGTCAGCAAATGAAATCATCGCCATCAACGATTACTCACCTAGCTTTAGATGTAGAAGGAGTAGCGTTGTGCTTGACTGGTGCATTATCCTTTAAGAAGAATTCTATAGGAAAGTTGAATTCGTTGATTCTGCTCAATTCGTTCAAGTCGCTTGGTTGGTTGTAGAAGATTGTCATTTTGCTGCTGAGAATAGTAGATGTTGTTGAAAAGCAGTTAAGAGAGCGCCCCAGCTTATATACCCGTGCGCATCCCCTCGATTCTTCTAGCAACTTCGCCTTCTATATTACTCCAGAAAGTTCCAGGGAGTGACTAATAGCATACCGTAGCGGGATAATGTAGACATTTGATCAACTTTTGGTGTTATCTGACGCTTCCCGTGATGCTAAGAAGGGCGGTACGGTGTCAAATGTGCATGTGAACTAGAGGATCAGAGAGCTGATAGGTAGTATATAGTATTTCAAAATACATAAGAATTTACAAGTTTTCAAATCCCGACTGCTCCTTCAGACATCAAAAATATCTCAAACCAATTAATGTCAATAGCGGCCGCGAGGGTATCACGTGTGGTGAGCTCCACTCCCTCTATATGGCAATTGCCTCGCCTAAACAATTTGGCCTTCTTTGGCCGGGCAATCAGAATCAGTTATTATCGATAATCGATAAGGCGCCAACTCCACAGAGTTCGGGAACGCAATAAAGAGAGCGTGTAATGATCGCCTGCATGCATGCAATTCAAATATGGTACAAACTATAGAAAGTATTTCAGACTATCACAATCTTCTTACCGAGTCTTTGGCCGTGTGCCTAGGTCAGATAGATCTACACTACTAATGATGTAATGCGTGCCAAAATAATGCTTTAAAGGTGATATTTGCTCAGCGGATGCACAATATTTGAATCCCCTCATCTTAATTCCAAACCAAAATAATTTAGTCGACTCAGTTACACCTTCATGTGAGCCAAATCCGTCATAAGTCACGCTCTTTTGGTGGATCAACCCGTTCGCCGCCTCTTGCCACCAAATTTCCAACAATGGGAAAAAGGTTTGACGATCTCAGTAAAAACAACAACGAAAATTTCAACGAAAAGACCGATGCCAACTCCTCCGCATCGGAATCGTCTCGCCCTAAAGAGGCTTACTTTGAAAAGAAAGATGACAAAGGCAGAATCGTCTTGACCGAGGAAATGGCGCCGGAAGTGCTTGGTTTTGCATTCAGTGAAAAGAAGAAGTACATAATCCTCACTGTTATCGCCATTCTCCAAATATCGATGAACTTTAATACCTCCGTATACCCCAACGCTGTCGGAGCAATTAGCGAGGAGTGGGGTGTCTCCGAGCAAGCCGCAAGAGTCGGACAAATGGGTTTCCTTGTCAGTTCAAATCTTCTCGAGTCGGCGTGAAAAACTGACCGAGACAGGTTCTCTACGCATTCGGATGCGAGCTCTGGGCTCCATGGTCCGAAGAATATGGTCGTTGGCCTATCCTACAACTTTCACTCTTTTTTGTCAACATATGGTCGCTTATGCAGGCCCTTTCACCCAACTACGCCACTATGATGGTCGGTAGATTCCTGGCAGGTTTGTCGTCTGCCGGTGGAAGTGTCACGCTCGGATTGGTCGCTGATCTCTGGGACGCTGACACGCAGCAATACGGCGTTGCTTATATTGTGGGTTGGGATGTGGTGCATCGGATGTCCGCTTACACGTGAGTTAGGTATGGTCATCTGTTTCAGGTACCACTGTTGGTCCTATTGTTGGTGGTTTTATGGAAAGTTTCGCGCCTTGGCGTTGGATGTGAGCAGGTTGAAGCTGCGAAGGGGTATAGCTAACTTAAAATTACCAGCTTCTGGGTTCAACTGATCTTTGGAGGTTTCACAATGGCTCTCCATTTCCTAATTGTTCCCGAGACAAGTCCGTGCACTCTTGACCTTTTTAGCCTCCTCTAACACCGCTCAAGGATCGACGATTTTGCTAGACAGAGAAGCTAAGAGAAGACGCAAACAAGCCGTAAAAGACGGAAAGCCAGAGCCTAACATTTGGGGTCCGAACGAAGTCAAGGAGTCAAGAATTAGTGTCAAAGAAATTATCGGTAAGACAATACCTTAAGCAGCAAGAAAGCGAGCCGAAATAACACCTCCACAGTCACCTTTTACAGACCGTTTGAGCTGTTTGTTCGCGAGCCTATTGTCTTGTTCTGTTCGATGCTCTCGGGTTTCTCGGATATGCTTATTTTCATCTTCTTGGAGAGTTATGGTCCAGTTTTTGGACAATGGGGTTTTGCGGCATGGGCGACCGGCTTAGGCTTTGTGCCTGTCTGGATCGGTTACTTTATTGGATGGGCATCGTTTATTCCCTTCATTCGTAAAGATATGGCGCAGAGAAAAATTGACCGCTTCTCTGTTCCTCCGGAACGTCGTCTCTATTGGTTGCTTTGGACGGCTCCCCTTGAAGCTATCGGATTGTTTGGCTTTGCGTGGACATCTCTCGGACCGGAATACAACGTCCACTGGATTGCGCCTATGATATTCGCTGCCATGATCGGTATCGCAAATTATTGCATCTATATGGCTACATTCGACTACATGGTTGCAGCTTATGGACCTTACGCTAGTTCTGCAACTGGTGGTAACGGATTCGCAAGAGATTTCCTCGCAGGTATCAGTGCTATGTTCAGTACGCCGTTTTACAATCACTTCGATACATATACGTTGGAGTATCCCTCGACAATCGTAGGTATATTGTAATCACACACTCTCCACTAACTCCTCTCAGCTCGCGTGTATTGCCACTTGCTTGATAGCGCCAATTTTCCTCCTCTACTTCAAAGGACCAACTGTCAGACAACGCAGTCGCTTTGCTCAATCTCTCAACGACGAGTTTGAGTCTACGAAGGTTAGGGCTCAAGTCAGGGAGGAGAAGGCTGGTGGAGGAGCTGAACACATTGAGCATGCGTAGATGTGTCTGTAGTATGTGTAAATATTGCTTCTTTACGCTAATTCTTTTAGATACTTCTTTACGCTACATTAGCTCCCTAATTGGACTTGTAAGATTATTTTGACGCTCTTTTTTTCACTTTGTGTACAAAATGTATAAACACGCCCTTCTTCCGAAGTACCATTCATTATCAAGATAGAGTGCAATGATTGACTTGCTACTCACGCATGCAGAGCTAAGGAAGATAAGCGGTAAGATGGGCTGTAGTGCATTCCAAACGCCAACTGTGGATGTCGCTGAAAGTCCGAGCGAGTGGGTTTATCATAATGAAGAGACGTTGCTGAAAGCTGCGGCAGGTTCAAGCCAGCTTTTAGAGCTAGCTTGAGAGTGTTGCTTGCAGGTTCCACCACAATCAGCACTCTCAAATTCCTAGTTAAACTGCTCTTCCGGTTAGTTGCCGGTTAATTGATTCGGCCGGTACTGAAACACTTGTAGCCGAGACGCATTCGAATCGGTAGACAGCTCCCTCCCAAGAGCTCTGGCTTTGTACACACTTGCAAACAGACTTCTCGGAAGGCTGCGTGGTATTTCCAAATCTTGGATACCAGCGATTTCATCACCGGCGCTTCTGCTTATAAAGCAGCCTCACTTGAGATTCACTCTGGCTCTTTACACGTTATCAGCAGTTGCAGAAGCATTCTATGACCTCTACAGCCATCTTCTGCCGAAAGGGGGTATATACGACGCAATCTTCAGCTCGAATACGATCTGGCTGTTGTCACAGTCGAGGCTTCTCAACAGCTTCGTCTACCATCCAGATATTTTCCCGACATCCTACGCCAAGATCATCTTCGCGCGGTCCGAAAATTACATACAAAGACGACCAGCATGGGTCAGCCCACAGAGCCGCTGGCCATCGCCTCGGGATGTTCTTAACTACATCGCTTCAGCATCAGAGCACGCATACCCCAAGCTCAGCGATAGCGTACCCCTGCTTCGACAGCCTGTGCAACCTATAATTGATTCAGCACACTCACAGCACACCCAAGCTATCTGTGCAGCGTTACATCCAGCTGAACCGAGCTGTCTCAAACATTATATTGTTGCTCTTTTCAAAGAATTGAAAGGCGCAGCTCGATTTTCTGGTGTTTTAGCGGTGCTAAGTGCGCTGTTTAGGCTGAAATCGGGGCTGAAGAAGTAAGTGATGAAATGCGACTTTTGCTAGCAATAGGCTTACGCATACAGTCCAATACTCACACTGCGCAATATTGCGAAATCTACAGTTCATGGCGCTGTAATGATAGGAGGATCGATAACCACCTCGTGGGCCACCACTTGCTTTTTGCAGAAGATACTCCCGAATGACGCGCTCAAGAAAAGTAGGTGGTGCCTTCACTGCATACCCTCAACACTGTTGCTTCTTACTCTTCCACCGAAGAGGCGCCGACAGCTGGCCATGTACTGCGCTCGATTAACCGCCGACCTTGAATGGAGTCGGCTTGGATGGAAGAACAACAGTTCCATCGAATGCTTGGTATGCTTGGTGTTTGGGGTTGGAATGAGCGTGCTCGGCAGGGCACTGGATAAGGATAAGAGGGTTGTGGGCGGAATTCACGGCAGTTGTATCAGATATATCAGGGAAGGTGCTTTGTAGAGTGCTAGTAAACACTACAATCACTATGAATTGTTGTAACATTGTAGTCAGCGTTATCTTAGCGAGGGAATGGCTGCGTTGGATGCGAAAGGTAGTGAGGATATACACAATATTTTCCATTCACCTGTATTACAATATTATCCTAATTAGATGACTGAATGAAATCTCCCCACTTATCACCTCCGTCACAACTCCTACTCGCAACTCCGTCGATGTCCGCTCGATCAAACGGGATTGGGACAAACGATACGTAAACTCAGCGGAAAAGACACAGCAGAACTCCGGAGACGTTTTTTAATAGTCTGCAACACTAAAAATCCAAAAATAAGACTGCGGTTTTTGATCATTGAGATCAGATTCTCATCAAATCTTGTTCCTGAGAAAAATTGTTGATTAATGAGCCCTTTGAGGGAATCTCTTGGTCTCCACAACAACCCCAACAACCCCGACCTACCCAAGTCTTTAGAGTTTTTGGTTTGTAAGTTGGAAATATAGCCAAATTGTCTTCTCTGGTTCTAACAAGCACCAGCATACCGCCGTTACTACCACCCTCAAGACTCAAAACATGCCAATTCTTAAAAAAACGGGCATACGCTCTACATTCTTTCCGGACGGAACTACTCAGCCAGTAGATGGTGCTGAACATGAGCAGCACGAGGACGCTTCTACCAACGGGGAAAAGAACGAAGACAACAACATTGTTTTGATTGTGAGTTTTGTGTGTGGCAAACAGCCTACTCTAATACTCTCAGGCCTTTGAAGAAAACGACCCGGAAAACCCGTATGTGAAGAGCTAGTGATATTTATATGAAAACTCACAAGTACATAGTCTCAACTGGAGCAAGCCTAGGAAATGGCTTACAACTACTCTCCTCAACTCGATGACCCTGAGTAAGTTAAAAATAATAAGCATTCACACACTCCTAAAACCACTTAGTCATCGGTTTGAGTACCTCTGCATACTCTCCAACTACCAGTTTTATTGCACAGGACCTCGGTGTCTCCTCGGAAGCTGCTAACGTGAGTTTGAAATGTCTCATAAAATTTTTACCCCTTCTAACCTCTTGAATCTTTTAGGTTGGTATGTTTACATTCAACGCTGCTTGCTCTATCGGTCCACTCTTCCTTGCACCATTCTGTGAAATGGTTGGAAGAAGATATGTCTATTTGTTCGGTTTCTTCGCTTTCACAGCCGTCTTCCCTATGTTGGGAGCAGGTACGAATATCGGTACCATGATCGTCGGTAGATTACTCTCCGGTCTTTTCGGTTGCATTGGTACTATTCTCGTTGGTGGTACACTCGCTGATATCTGGAAGGATGACGAGCGGTCTGTGCCTATGTCTCAATTCACATTCGTTGCCATCTTCTCTACAATTGCCGCACCAACTTATTGTGGTTACATTATTGAGGGCGTTGATTATAGATGGGTGGAGTGGGTTCACATGATAGCCTCTGGAACTCTCTTTATCATCGAACTCTTCCTCTTCAAGGAGACACGCGGTGCCACCATTCTCGCCCAGCGTGCTAAGAAGATGAGGCAAGAGACTGGCGACAACAGGTTCAGAGCGCCAATCGAATTGGAATCTGAGTCCGTCAAGATGCTTCTTCACAAGTCGTGCACCCGTGCCATTATGCTTCTCTTCCGCGAACCGGTCATTCTTTTCTTTGGTCTCTGGATTGCCCTTGCTTGGGGTTTAGTGTTCTTGTTCTTGACCGTTATTCCTCTTACATTTGAAGGTGAGAGAGAGTCTTATCTGACACTGAACGTCGCCGCTGACATATTCTCACAGGTAACCACGGCTGGTCCACTGGTAACGGCGGATTGCCTTACATCGGCTTGATGATTGGATGTGTACTTGGTTACATCTCTGGATACTGGTCGGATCATAAGTTCAACCAAGCAACTGAGAGAAACAATGGTAGGACTGTTCCTGAAGCTAGACTGTACGGTGCTATGTTCTTTGCACCTTTCTTCCCTATCGGGTTGTACATCTTCGCCTTCACGCAGTACTCCTTTGTTCACTGGATTGCTCCAATCATCGCACTCGTGCCGATGATCTTTGGTATCTACCACATCTTCCTTGCAACTTACAATTATACCTCTGACTCTTACGGAGAGTACTCTTCCTCAGGTATCGCCGCGCAAGGATTGTTGCGTAATATGTTAGGTGCCGTCACGCCTCTTTTCGGTAGTCAGATGTTCCATGGAATGGGATTCCAGTTCGCGGGTCTGTTCATTGCACTTTTGGCAACAATCCTCGCACCAATCCCATATGTGCTCTTCTTCAAGGGTAAGACAATCAGAGCACGCTCCAAGTTCGCATCTGCCACCACTGGTATGGCTGACGAGCAGCGCGATACCGCTTCAAATGCAGAACTAGGCCACACTGCCCAGGAAGCCAAGGCGTAGTCCAAGGCTTGACTGAAGGAAGACTAAAAGGATATTTATCTCACTGCATAACTCATATAGAATTCAACTAATAAAGTTACCTGTACGCCTCAATTCATTACTGCTTGTTTTGGAATACGTTTAGTTGAATGTTTGTTGCTAATTCAAAGGTCATTCTCTAAGAGACGTTTTCTTTCACTGGAAATTCTAGAACCTTGATTCACATTTTCCGCACTGATTACCTACACTTGGAAAAGTACACAAATTAACTCGAAATCGACACTCGTTTTTATCACCAATTAACTCTCACTTGGTATTTCTATATCTCATTGTAACAATATCCAGATACACGGTAGAGACGACTTAAGACTAAGTACGATTACAGCTATGTGTATCTCGAAATAACCGTCCAGGCCATCAGAGGCGATGGTGAGTGACGCGGCGAAGATGAAGAGCTGGACGCCGCCCACGAGATGTAAAGCTTTGATAAAAGGGTCCTCCTAGTCTTGGTCTACGTACCTAATGTACATAACCAAAGTAGGATTGAAATTTGTCTATAAACATTGAAACGCATTTAGACGCACAAACAGTAAATAATTTACATTACGAAGAGCTACATTTGTATTGCCTGCCGGGTCTCGAACGATGGCAATCGACACATGTTGAAAGTCAGTGAGTGAGTGGAGCGAAAAACCCAGACAGCTCAGATGCGGACTTGAAAGGCTTTGAAAGAAGCGCTTTCATCTTAAGTAATATACGTCAGGAAGTGATTTTTCAGGGGTTGTCATAATGAGATAAAACACAGCATTTAGGAAATAGCTCACTTTATATCATCACACTGCTGGCTGTCAGTGCTATTCCAGGCTTAGGATCAAGGCACACTAAAGAAAGACAAGCTTATAGAGTTGTCTTGTGAGGAAGCTTGAGAGTGAATCAGGTCAAACAAGTTACTCAAGTTACTCAGGGTAATACCACATTCGACAGGCGTTCCTGTGACACCTTTGTTTCAAGAAAACGATGATGTGGATCAACATGGTGTGTAGAGTGTTATAGAGGAGTACCCTACCAATCCAGAATTGCAGGGAAACGCCTACTCGAGTCATAGCATCAGTATCAGCAGCGTTGTTGACGTTAACTGGACTTGCCCAAGGTGTGTGTATATCAACAATGATGAAGAAATAAGCTGTAAAAGGTGGGTGGGCTGGTTGATCGGTACTAGCTCTAATCATCGTAGATGCATGTACAACACTCTAGACACGTAAACAAGGATGCGTGGAGCACACCACTTACAGTAATATATTTATTCCAAATACCTTTAATTTAGCATCGGCTCGACTTGGTATCACAATCACATGCTTATAGTACTTCTTCAGACTAGTCCAAAATGATTCCAAGTGTCCGTGTATTGCTATCACTAAACCAACCTTCCCCTTACGCCCGCGCAACAGCCTTTCCCACTCCCTAAGAATATCGGCCACGATCTGCACTGGCACTGTACAGGCTGCTCTACTGTAAACCCATATCGAAACGACTACTGCGTGCTCTGCGATGAATGGCGCAAACCGCCGTTTTTCACTTTGGTTGGCTTCTTGGTAGGGCTCGGTAAATGATGCCAGAACTGGGGAACGAACGCACGATACTACGCTTTACTGGTTTGTATAATTTGGTACTAATATTGTAATCTTTGACGTGATTCTGGGTTGTTGCAGAGGTTTATCAATATCTGTTGTGCTTGGATTACTCCCAACAAAATCCCAGCCTCCACGTCTATTTCCACACCCACCTCGGCCAAGCCAAGCACCGAAAGCCAAGAAGAAGGGTCGAGCACAGTCTAGGATACGTTTGTTATATTTTCGCGAGTGTGTTGTGCTGTGGATTAATATTAGCGCATGTGATGTTCCTACCTTTGCAATTCCGGAACAGCCACCTATCGTGATTCGCCACCACGAACAACCTACAAATACGAACCCATGAAAAATGTATTTACCACACGATAACGCTGCAAATCTACACACACACGCGAAACGCGATACCAACAACGCTGCAACGACCGGCGCAGTCATAGCGATAGTCGCGGCAGCTCTTGCGTTTAGTTTCCTGATGGCTAAGGCCTACACACGCAAAAGAGAACTTAAAATGGCGGGCTCGGGCAGTGGAGCCATAGTAAATCCCCAGAGCGCCCCGGCCAACCCATTTCTCGACCATTTCCCTAGATTAAGCAGGAATGAAGTTACCCACATGACCCACAGGCAGCCCGAGGAAGGTGATGAGCAATTACCACCTTATGAGCCACCTGCCAAACCCGTAGCCACCGCGGAAAATTCATTCAATATGGACGTGGCTGATGGTACTGCTAGTGCTGGTGCTAATATACCGCCTTCTTATGAAACTCAACCCGTTCAAGCTGCTCAAACCGCTCACACATCCGATAACACACGGCAATTTTCTCCACCTGATCATCCGCCCCCGCCTCCTGCTTATGTAAATTAAATTGCTGGAATTGTATTCTAAACCTCTGCCTGTACAAATGAAATGGATTTGGATTTATTTTATTGCCATCACGCTACTGCCATGTCCAAGTGGAAGGAACCATTTGACGCAGCAGTGAAGGAGTACAGACGCGGTGACTTCGAGAAATCCTTGGAGCTGCTGGATAGAGTTGGTGTGGATTGCTGCTTAGTATCCCCGCTAACCCCTTCAAGACGCTAGCACTACACTCCCATTTGACCGTCTACGATACAAAATGCGCGACGCTGTTAAAATTAAATCGCACAGATCAGGCGTTACAAGTAGCTAGAAAGATGACACAAATCGACGAGAAATCCCCAAAAGTGCGCCGATGATGACATTCTAGATACACGGCTAATACTCCTCAAGGGATACAGGAGGTGTGCAAATATACTCAAATCTCGCAGTCTCAATAAGCAAGCCCTCGCTATGGCAAATCTCGCTTTGAAGCAGTGTGAGTACATTTCAAAAGTCACGCGCAAGCAAGATCCATTGTTTTTGGAAATGCAGGATTTGAGGGATGAGCTTCAGGTTGTTGAGCAGCTCAGATTGAGCTCGTTTAGAGACCCATTGACAGTGCTCCCTTTGGAGATGGTGCTCGATATCGTCGAACTGGCCGCCGAGTCCACCAACGACTACTCTTTAGTCACACGTCTATCACACGTAAACAGCCTATGGAGACAGACAGTCCTCAGTATACCCCAACTATGGCGCAGATGTGCCATAAAATTCGATGGTTCTGGGAGGGCGCTGAAAAAGCTAAATACATTCTACAAGCGCGCAAACAATACCCCGCTACGACACATTAAGATGCACCTCCTTAACGTGGAAGAGGTGCTTTCATTCTGCACAAATCCATTGCCTTCAATCGACATTAACGCTAACATAAATTTGTCTACTTTGGAGATGGTTTACTCCCACAAATTCAAAATAAACCCATTCTTCGAACCTATCTCTGGTATCTCGGGAGACAAGATGTTTCAGAAAGTTGACAAGCTTGTATGTGCGGATGGCGGTTCTCTAGCGCATCATGACTTGCGCGACATTGACGAAGATTTTGTTTTGAATCGGGTGAAAAACACACTTGAGCTAGATGGCTTCAATTATCACGCACAAAGTGGCACCCCTGGAAACTACACCTTGAAACGCTTCAAATTGAGTAAAAGTCGCGCACCACCAATACACCACCTCATGAGTGCTTTCCCCAACCTGGAATCATTCGAGTGGGACCAGGGCTATGAATGTCATGAAGAATCTGATTCGCATTTGATTAACATCAACATGCCCATTCTCGAAACCCTCCTCATAGCCGACGTAAGGGATGGACTACGCAGTATAACACCACCCAGACCAATACCCAAATACAATTTGCCTAATTTAAAGCGCTGTATACTCAAGGGCGTGCCACTGTACATGTTAGAATGCGTTCAAGACTCACCAAAGCTGATACACCTGTCGATTCAAAACCAACTAGACACTGATTTCAGCCTCATGGCTAACGCGCCAGATCCGTCTGTATACATTGATAGGTTTATTGGCGCGTTCAGCAACCTCAACGATTTGCAGGTGCTCGACTTGACAGGTACAGGGTATGGTGTGATTATACTGCACACAATCACCCAGAAGAAGCTATGTCCGAGATTGAGAGCAGTAAATGTTTCCCGAACAGCGGGTTCGTTCGGCAGGCTGCTAATTGAGCTCATTAAACAGCGCAACAGCACCCCTGATTTAACATCCATCGATGAGCTTATCGCGAACAGGTGCCCCGAGCTAGAACATGAGGCTGTGGCATGGGCTAGAAGACACGTTAGCAGTGTGCAATGTGTATATGAGACAAAGGAAGAGTCTAGAAAACAGCCAAGACAACGTTATAGGTACGAGAGAGTCTAGAACTGATGCGGTAGGATTTGGTGAAAAGATCCACCAAGCTTGGGAACTGACCAATTATGTCATAGCATTCGGCATACATTATTTATGCATACGAATTACTTCACATGACATGTGATGGATGTGACTGAATAAAAAGAGCTTTGTTTGTGTGCCGAACTTGTCTTTCAGCAACCATCATGTGTCTCAAGAAGGTGGGGTTGATGAATACAAATAAAACGCAACGCTAAAACACGCATACAGTTACTTAGCCCAGTAAACTTCAACTGGAGGTGTCCGAAATGCGTCTACGTCAACGCCGACAACGATTTTTCGTGCAAAAAGTAAGTTTGTTTATCAACGCACAACCCCCACCTAACCACAGTAACCCCGCAGATGCTACTTTAATATGGCGGGAACGTGATCCGCTACAGGTTAGCGGTGTATGAGTGCTATTACGCAGACACAAGCACACTCGTTTAGTTGTATTTATTAGTTTATACCTTAATGCTATGCAAATCACTTTTTCATTTGAACGTATAAAAGGCGGTAGAATAAATGGACAGTTTTGTTTATTGGAAAAGTAATGCTACTCTACTCCAGTTTCTCCACTTGAATGACGCTACACCTCCTTATATCACTCCACTTCTAGCACACAAACAATATACAGATGGCAGGTGTCTGTTGGCGGATAGTACTTATCCTCCCCACTACTGAACTGTCTTTGTTTGCGTACTCCAAATTACTCGTACGAATCATTTCCTGTTTTAGACCCGCGAAATCTTTGCTGAAGTCACGAATACGCGCTTGGCGAGGTTTATTCCAGGCTACACATTTTTCAATTATCTGCTGCCAAATCCTACTTTCGGATGCAATTGGATACTCAACATCGTAGATAGAGGATGGGGTTTCATACTATCGAAATCAGCATATCCGGAAAAGCTGCTTCCAGTACCTTCTCGAGAAGTTTCCAGAGTGAAGTTGCTAGAAGAATCGAGGGGATGCGCACGGGTATATAAGCTGGGGCGCTCTCTTAACTGCTTTTCAACAACATCTACTATTCTCAACAGCAAAATGACAATCTTCTACAACCAACCAAGCGACTTGAACGAATTAAGCAGAATCAACGAATTCAACTTTCCTATAGAATTCTTCTTAAAGGATAATGCACCAGTCAAGCATAACGCTACTCCTTCTACATCTAAAGCTAGGTGAGTAGTCGTTGATGGTGATGATTTCATTTGCTGACGTAGCTGCCAGACTCGATCTGATTCAACATGACAACTCGTACGAAGCGAGAGTAGATCTGGCTGGTTACAAGAAGGAGCAGCTAGAAATCTCTATCCACGACCACAAAATAAGTGTCAAGGCTAGCAAGCCAGCTGAAGAAGAATCAAAGAAGTCGGACGAGCAAAGATACTTAATCAGCGAAATCAACTCAGCTCCTTCAATCAGCAGAACGTGGAGACTCCCAGAGCACATCACAGAGGACAATATTCACGCCGCCTACGATAACGGTTTGCTCACCCTCAGATACTCAAGACACGCGCCCGAATCTGAATCAAAGAAAGTACTAATTCACTAGAACCACATGTTCAATCAATTGTTTTATGTTAATGCATGATTATAATAACGACCTCGAATTCACGATGCATATTTCCAACTCATCTCGGTAACCTCCCCTTTTTCCAATCACATCCCGATGATACAGGAGAAGCGAAGATGGCCGAACAGAGCAGTGAGATAGTGTTTGACAGCATCCCCTCAGTAATCTGACAAATTCAAAACATTCACAGTGCGATTATTGTCGATTGAAAAAGATACGATGCGACGCAACTAAAACATGGCCAAAGAGATGCTCAAATTGCGTTGATAAGGAGTGCACGTTTAAGGAAGTATCCATGAAGCCATTTCCCACCAGCTACGTGCGCGATATTGAGCAGAAAGTCGGTGATAGAGCTAATATTATATCACCCGCTAACAACTGACCAGCTCACACTATATGAAGCTCTAGTGGAAAAGCTTGCACCTGGACAAGGACTAAATGATGATCTAGAAAATTCCTTTAGAAATGCTCCGAGGAAGCATTCACATGATGCAACTACTTCAATAGATCACACAATGGATCAATCAGACGAGGAAGTCTTTGATGGTGCATCCCTAGATCCTCAAGACACCACAGATGCTGACAAAATGCGTTACTTTGGATCAGTAAGGGAGGTAATGTATAAAATAAAGGCCCATAGTCTTGTGGAACAGTCAATGGCCACCCAAAAACGTCCACAGTACTGGTCACTCAATATAGAGGACGAAAATCACATTCCATTCACAAACGAAGACTTTGGCCCGGATGAGTTTCTCTATCGCTTTGTTGCGACATACTTTCAGAAAGTTAACAGCACCTTCCCGCTTCTGAATAAGATCCGCTTTATCCAAGACATACCACAACGAAAGCTGGAGCGGGGTTTCGGAAGCATACTTATCCTAGTGTGTGCACTGGGATCGCTTTATTGCGATGACGAACGCATGCACCTCCCAAACCGAGAGCCATTTGGATTTCTCGGCGGCAGCAGCTACTTCCAAACATACAAGAAGAAAGCGCCCAACTACTCTCTCACAGCGGCCACGCTCGAAGACATTCAAGCGCTCATGTTACTCCAAATGTTTGTCCAAAGAAGCTCTCATCTGCAAAGCAGCTGGAATCTGAATGGCGCGGCACTTATTATAGCCGAAGATATCAGTCTTTATCACCAATTGAACCATCTCAACGTCTACGAAAGGGAGGCCCGAAAAAGAGCGTACTACTGCATATACTTTATGGATCGCTCCCTCAGTGCGGCTTACGGAAGACGCATTATGCTGAAAGATGAGGATGTTAGTCTTGAGCATCTTCAACCACTGCCAGAAGAAATAGGTACTGAGGAACACTATAGCGTCATATACTTTACGCAAATGATAAAGCTTTACAAAATACAAGGCCAAATCGATCATCAAATTAGCTTGCTAAAGAAACAAGGTAACAGAGACAATGTCATGTCAATCGTCGCAAGTATGAGCTCGTGTTTGAATGACTGGGTGAATGAGATCCCGCGGGATTTGCAGTATGATGATAATTGCCAAGATAATTTTGTGTTTCAGCTCATGAGTAATCTTCGCATCGCTTTCTTCAATATCCAGTTGCTAATGTATAGAAACTTCGTACCCCATCCTGGCTCGACAAAATTTTCGCAATTTAAAGTAGAGAGTTTGCTTATATGCGCAAATGCAGCCAAGTCCATGCTAAAGGTTTTCCATGTCATGGAGTTAAAGCGACACATAATCCAAAACTACATTGATTTCTTGATGAATTTGGGAGTGAGTTGGGTTGCGAATGACAGCTACATACTAACACCCTCAATCAGCCATTTCACGCTCTAGTTATTCTTATATTGAGTGCATGTGAATCAAGACGGACAGGTCAAGTGGATGTGACTGAAATCGATTACATAGAGATAGGTATCATGATACTGCGAAGAAGGGAGATTAAGGATATCGTTGCTGGTAAAACCCTAGACGTAATTTTGCACCTTCTGGAGTCATGTCGTTTACCTGTGAGAGTTTCTGGCCAGCGGACACTAAGCGATGATTACAACACGGGTGTTTATCGAGGAGAGAATGTCATCGATCCACCTTATGAAGTTGGCGGAGATGATATTCTCAACAACATGTTTAATTTATTGCAGTCCAATTCGATTGATTTTGGCGGAGGCGTAGGTGTTCCAGAGTACAACTATAGCGGGCTCAGCGCCCAAAATGATGTCGAGTGGAACAACTTTCTCCTTTCAATAGGATTGCAATTCGAAATAGACACATCTCACACCGGCTTTTGATCATGTTATGGATTTATGTATGATTATGAAAAAGTACAATGAATTATGACTAACGCTACATCTACTGACGACTTCTCTCTGACGCCAGTCTAATGGCCCAAGTGAACTCGTATGTTTTGACAGCATCTTCGTAGGAGCTGAGAATCGTATGATCGATAGGCTCATCCTTGTGCTCAGCTTGTCTTTCAATCTCATCTCCCCAGTTTGAAATCTCTGAGTAGAAGCAATCGTCGTTTGTAAACGTTTGAACCTAGATTTGTTAATATGGCAATTCAGAGACACTCAACACTCACCTTCTCTGCGTTGCTATTGGGAGACCTCACGTAAAGTGTGGGATTGTTGTATGGGTCGACCAACCGCAAAAGATATCCATCCGCGAAGACAGTCAGCTCAGTATAGTAGTCTGTATCATGTAGCGCAACCCCATGAATAAGAGATCCGACTGTTCCATTTGTGTACTTCCAACTTGCAGATGTGAAACGTGGAATGCGCTGCTCGGCTGGCACCTTACTCTCGTCAATGTTTTGCTTGCTGAGCTGGCCTGGTTCCTCGTCCCATTCAACGGAGTGCGCCTGTACAGAGTCGAGCTTGACATCGCCACCAAAATACCTCGAAAGATCGCAGAAGTGTGTCGCTTGCTCCACTATCGGCCCGCAAGAGATTGATTTGTCCCACCAGTCAATGTTCACAGCTTTCTCATAAGCCATAACGTATCTGATGGTATATAAGAGGGGCTCATCTGTCCTTATCCAACTCACCTAGCTGATGTGCACATAACTGTCAAATTTTTCTCCTCAATGAGCCCAATCATTGCCTGAACAGCCTTGCTATATCTGAGCATGTATCCGACAGCCACAGGATTTCCAGTCTTTGCAATGCGCTTTCCAACCTCCCCAGCTTCCTCGGACGGACCAGTTGTGACAGGCTTCTCGATAAACATGGCAACTTTTGGAAAGTGCTCAAGTATAGACAGCTCCAAATCAGCTGGAGTTCTCAATCCACCTCTGAACTTTGGTGGAGCACCAACTATAATCGCGTGTGGGAAGCTCTCCCCTTCAAGCTCCTTCCTGGCCGCTGCGACGGTAGGGAATGTCTTTGTGTTTTTATAGGCGTCTGCGACGAAGCTTTCTCTTTTCTTGCTCAATTCTAAATCCGCTTTGGCTGTATTAGGATCGACTATACCAACAACATTGAGTCTTTTACCCCATTTCTGCTCAACACGTTTGCTGTGATTCCATGGGCCTTCATCCGTCCCAAAGTTGATGGCTCCCGCACCAACGTATATCAAGTTAAACTGAGGGCCAGATTGGAGGGGGTTTGCTTCGATTGAGCTGCGTCTGTGCTTTTGAGGTGCCATAGTACTAAAGTTGTAGGCTATAATGAGTTATGCTGTTAGATTTGCTACATAAATGAATATGGCAAATCCGCCCCGGAAAATTGAATCATTTATACACGTCACGTGCAATGTGTCCATATATGGAGCGACCTCCGGTACCTCTCAGTTGTCGCAGTCTTTTAATAAAGTTTATGTGCTGTCAAAGTATCACATGCCAGTCATGTATTCGCAATAGTTGAGCTGGTGCAATAGAGCACCTGATCTCACAGGCGACTTCATCCCTCTAGAGTGCTGTAATGCTGTATATACATAATAAAAACTAATAATTTACATCTTGCTTGCTTTTGGTATTAACTGTCACCCTCCATGTCTTCCCCTCAGACTCCAGTTCCTTGGGCTGGATATGTTCAGTAGATTAAAGCGACAACTCAATTTGTTATTGAGCACCAGTACCCCTGTATATTATCATCATAATCTCAAACAAGTTTAAAACAAAACTCTCAGTCACATTTAAAAAATCAGTATCACTAATTGTATAATAAAAGTACATTAAATATTGGACTAAACGTCCATCTTCTTGTTGCTCTCGCTTGGCGTTTGCGAAGACTGATCGCCATCAGCTGTACTGAATCTTCTCTCGTCATTCCCGTCCATATGTTCGATGTGGAATGTCTCAATCTTGCTAGCTTCCATGACATCCCTGCGATTTATGAATCCTGAGGGAACCCACTGCGATGAGCGCCATGGCTTGAGCCCCTTCGTAGAATACATCTCATCAACTGCTTCCAAGGACAATCCGGCTGTCTCGTAGAGAAAAAAGTACATCACTGCAGCCAAACAGAGATTGCAACCACTAAAGACATAACCATACCTGAATGATATTGCGCTGGTGATAAATGGTGAGAAGAATCCGATAAGAAAGTTCCAAACCCAGTTCGATGCTGTAGCTATAGATGCCTGTCTAGCTCTGTGAGAAAGGGGGAACGTCTCTCCGGTCACAATCCACGTGCCCGGACCGTAAGTGGACGCGAATGAGGCAATAAAAAGACAAGCCGATAAGATCATGACCTTTCCAGACGCTGGATTGCCCTCAGGCCTGGACGGAGTTGGTCTTGGATCTAGCTGGTCACCGACTGTCGCGAAAACCATTAACCAAACCTAAGTAAAATTAGTGAGTCTTCACTTAACGTGCTGATAATATACTTACAACTGCACGAAGGTCAGGAAACAGTTAAAAGAGAAAGTTTGCACTCACACTGCCAAATACCACCAAAAATCATTGGCTTACGACGACCAAATCTCTCCAAGATCCAAAGACCCCAGAGTGTGCAAAAGAAGTTGACAGCTCCGAGCACGATCTGCGTGATATATGAATCCTCAATACCGACCGATTGGAATATGGTTGCACCGTAGTAGAAGAAGTAGTTGGCACCAGTGAGCTGATTAAAGGTCTGAAGAAACACTCCTAATGCTGTTCGATAGACTAATTTTTTCTTTCCGGGTTGGCCGATGAAACATTCCACCCACGACTTCCAAAACGATGACTCAGTCTGCTGCTCAAGCTTGACCTTCGCTGCTATCTCAAGGAAGTCATGCTCGACAACGGCCTTATCGAAGTCAGACTTGGCACCTCTAACCCTTTGAAGAGACCTTTTAGCTTGCTCAACCTTGTCGTTCTTCATGAGCCATCTCGGTGATTCTGTAGGGCTTGTTAATTTGTATTCCCAGCGCGATTTATGACTCACCTGGCAAAAACCACACTCCGACACCGAGAATAAGAGCCAGCGCTATACCTAAGCCTACAATGATTCTCCACGAGGCATCAGAATCTAGAGGACGCGTTCCATAACAGAAGCAGTACGCCAGCAAAATCCCGAATGTAATACATAATTGATAACATGCAACCGCCGAGCCTCTAAAATTGGGTACGACGCACTCGGACACGTAAACAGGTATTACGGCACTAAGTGCACCTATTCCCAACCCCGCTATCAAGCGTCCAACAGCAAATTGCTCCCAAGAGAACTGAGTGGCTATCTGTACTATTAGGCCAACGGTGAAAAGAGCCGCTTCCAAACTCATTGCCATGCGTCTGCCCAAATAATCTGCTACGGGAGCGCCTAGCAACGCGCCAGAAAGTGTACCAATTGAAAGAAGTGAGACTATCAGGCCTTCCCGAACATTACTGAACTCATATTCCTCGCAGTGACCGTTGATGCAATTTGTTCTGATATCAGCAAATCTGTACTTGAAATCTCGCATTAACACCATGTCCGATATTTGTCCTGTGTCATATCCGAAAATCATCCCTCCCACAGAGGACAGTATTGAAACATAGACCGTAGTAGCGCCTAGTGGCTGTTTGTTGTTAAAAATACCCATTTTTTAGACGGATAGGTGAGGTGTTAAAGATCGATCAAGAACTTATAAGTCATTTAGATTGTACCTGAATGGTTGATCCGGTGACAATGTTCACCCAGTTGATTCGATCCGGGGCGAGTAATTGACATGAGGATAGTTAGAGAGCATATTAGACGTGTAAAGAGTTCTATTCATTGATATGGACTATATACATACACTAATGTCTCATTCTAAGTCATCTGGTCTGCATTCTGTGACAGTATACCAAATGCACGCATTAAGCTAATTCACCTGTCCAGAATAACCTCAAACTAGTCGGAGTCGGCTCCGGAGCTTTTCCCAGATTTAGCCGGATTCTAATTATTGGAGGTAATTTCCCACTGTTTGTCCGCTTCAAAGAGAGCTATTTGATTCTCATACAGCTGCTGAATATCTCGAAAGATCCGTGCGCTTTTGGTGGTGGTTGTGAATCATGTGCTCTCTTGATGTCAAGCTTAATTTGAGAAAATTTAAAAATTAGGGATGAATGTAATGCATAAAATGAATGAACAGTATCGGGTATATACAATGTCTCTATTGTTGACTTTCTAAGAAAGCTCAGCGGTATATTCGTTCGAGGTGCTGCGGACGGTTTGGGTTTAATCGAAGGACTGAAATTACAAAAGAGATGAAGGTATTAAACCCCGATACTTGATACTGCAAGAGACTCGAATGAGTCTGATAATATTAAATTATAATGTATGAATAGTGTCTTCGCATGTGTCTTGGTATCCAAGGTTTTTATTTTCGGTTTGTATCATCCAAAATTGTTCATATACGCTTACTTCTGTATTAACAGTCAATTTAAATTCAAAAATATCGATCTCTCAAAAACTGAATCTAAAAAGCATTTATCAAATTGTATTTATTACAGAACAACGCGTATTTCTCATCATTAAGTGTAATTCTCCAAGTGCAAGCGGTCAGATGCGAGGGTGTATGCACCATCGAGAATCTCGGTGGAGTTGGTTTGGTATTCGTTGGTGGCCAAGTTGAGGACGATCTTTGCAAGATCAGATGGGATACCAGCACGGCCTGATTGGTTAATTAGCGGACGTTATGAGTGGTATAAACTACACTCACCAAATGGAATTTGCCATTTATTTCTGAAGAAGTCTTTCTCACCTGATGTCTCAACTGGTGTCATCTGTTGTGCGGGTTAGAAGTAAACATCGACAAAACCTTCTTTCACCTACCTGGCTAGGGAAGTATCCCAAGGCGAGCTGGTTTACTCTGATGCCGATGTGTGGACGTGCCAACTCAAGCGCCATTTGTTGACTGAGAGATACAGCAGCTGCCTTGTTGCTGTTGTAGCTGAATTGACCATTCTGGGCATTTGTTAGATTTGTGTTCATTTGTGAGACAAAACCTTACTTGGGAATTTTTGACGATACCAGAGATAGATGTCACGTTGATGACATTTCCGGAAGCACCTCTGCTCTTGTTTGCGGCAATAAGTAGAGGGAGGAAGGCTGCGGTGGTGAAGTAGATAGCAGCTACGTTGATTGCGTATGGATCGGTCCAGTCAGCGAATGATTGCTCCATCATGCGCTTGCTGATAGCTTCTGGGGAGTTGTCACTGGCATCCATATGAGCTTTCGCGGTTGTAACGCCGGAGTTATTGATGAGCAAGTCAACGTGATCCTCCTTTTTGCTGATTTGATCGACGATTGCTTGAATATCCTCCTTCTTTGTCGAGTCACCTGCAACTGGAATAATACTGCTCTCATATCCAGACGCTGTCTCCTGGAGCTTCTCAAGGCGACGACCAGTGATGTACACCTTAGCACCATTCTGTGCTAAGCAGGTCGCCATCATCCTACCAACGCCTGATCCAGCACCTGCTCTGCGAGTCAGCAAAAGCTAACATCTACATTGTCAACGCACCAGTGACCACTGTCACCCATCCCTTAATATTGAATAAGTCTACTGCTTGTAATGAGGCCATTTTGTCTTTGTTTTAAATGTAAAATGTTAAGTTGTTTCGTCCCCGCATTTCACTGATTTTATATATAAAAATAATGACATCATTCCGGGGAACCCTCCGAGCGCAAGGTGTGTCTTTGTTAAGAATAATTTGTGATTGGCAGAAGAGATCTTAGCAGCTATGGTGTGTGGAAGGCACGCATTTCATGGGTGAAGGTCCGCTGTCCTCAATTGG